CGGAGATTTGACAGAATCTTAGCATTTGAGTTAGGCTAGATTTTAGACTGCGCTGGTATATCCGCACGGCAAACAGGACCGCAATCTCGGGACCCCCGGTGAGCCCATGTGACCCATGCGCCGGATGGGGCCTGGGTTATGTGGCTTGTCCTTTTGCCTTTTGAACGGGCATTCTAAACTGCATGTTACCCCTGCCACCGTAAACAAGGAGGCCCTCTAGTGGGTTCGCGCCTGGCCCATTATTCCCTCGGCACCCTCCGACCTCCCACACTGGGTTGATGGTTCGTGGGCGAGGTCTGTCCGCTGCCGGTTGCCTTCCAAGGTCACCGTGCCCTTTCTCCTCCCCTAGCGTAAGTATCCTGAGCCCCCTAGGGGTCAAATCAGGTACCATCGCCTGTATTGAGTCTGAGGCCCGGGATGAGCCAAGTGTGTAAGGCTGAAGGCGCCAGAGGACCTCCCCTCGTACCATCCGGTTACTTTGTTAGCCCCCGTCCCTCCACTCTGATCCCCCTCGTCCTGTACGACACCCATCCGCTCCCAAGATATTCTGATGCCTCTCCAACCCGCTATCTCCCTCTGCCTCCGTGGACTAGCTCCAGTCCTTGCTTTGTACTTCCAGCCCCCATCCCCATTAAAAATATTTTTATTTATATATAGGTATATATATAGTGATATATACGTATATATTTATGTATATAGATATATATATTATTTCGTTCTATGTGTATTTTGATATATATATATATTTATTTATTAATTTCACAATACAGTTAGAACGAAATGACACATATCTATATATTTTTTAATTATTTTTAATTATTTTTTTAATTTTATTTTTTAATGTATTTACATTTTTATTTTTTTATATTATATATAAATATATATAACAATAATTATATATATATTTAATCAGTATCAGTCTACGTGTAATTTGATATTAATATATATATAATTATATATATATATTAATAGTAAAATACACCTAGACGGTGTACGTGTGTGTATGTATATGTGTATATATATATATACTTAGATCATATATATATAATATATATATATGATCTAAGTATATATTATAATTTTTTTTATACTTTTTAATTTATTTAATTTTATTTTCAGCCAGCAGGGGGACCACCTGTCATTAAAGGCAGCCCCCCTGCTGGCAATGCAGGAGGCAGCCTACCCGGCCATGTGATTGTGGGGTCCTCGCAAGGATCCCACTCTCACATGGCCGGGGGGCTTCCAGGACGTCGGATGTGCCGCTGGGGGCTCCCTGGAAAAGACTGGAGGGCGTACTATTACGCCCGACGGCGTTTAGAGCCGCTTAGAATAGGGCGTAATAGTACGCCCTCCGGTCTTAAGGGGTTAAAGGAACACTAGAGAGTCAGGAACACAAACATGGATTCCTAACCTTAGAGTGTTAAAAACCACCATCAAGCCCCCCTAAATATAGTAAAATCATACTTGTATTCAAGTCTCTAGCTGCTAGCTCTGCCTCTAACCTACCTCCTGTCTGCTGACAACATCAGAAGTGGTGGTCTGAATCAATCATAATGCTTCCCCATAGGATTGGCTGAGACTGTGAAGGAGGCAGATCGGGGGCAGAGCCAACACAAGTCAAACTTAGCCCTGGCCAGTCAACATCTCCTCATAGAAATGAATTGAACCAATGCCCGAGGAAGTAATTCTAGCAGCCATCTGAGGAGTGGTGAGTGAAGTTATCACTAGGATGTAATATAAACACTGCATTTTCTCTGAAAAGACAATGTTTACAGCAAGATACTTAAAGGGAATGATTATACTCACCAGAAGAAATGCAATAAGCTGTTGTTGTTCTGATGACGATAATGTCCCTTAAATTATATATTGGAGATCTGGCTGACAAACCAGGCAGTACCCCTGCAGTTAATCCGGCCAATCCGAGTCATGTGATCAGTGTCATCTCGAACACATGACTCGGATCAGCTGAATTGACTGCAGATTACCACTGACGGTAAATATCTGGGCTTGAGGAAGGGCCAGGTTGTAGGGCATCCTTTGCCGCTCTATTGGCATTAAAGCCCTCCTTTTGTAGGATGGCATAGTGCTCCCTAATGTCGGGAAAGATTCAAGCCATTCAATCTATTAACAAGTCAACAGGCGAGCACAGGGTGGTGGATGCCTCAGGAAATCCTAGTTTTTGTCAAACTCAAAAGAAGCTAATATTTATTTTAAATGAATTTAAAGCCATTTCAGATGTGCCACTATTAAGCAACACGTGGCTTGGAAGGTGCTTCTTATTATCTTTATACTTTTCACTTTTTGTACCGTTTATGACACGTTCACCTGGATGACAAACAACTCCTATAGCAATGAATAGAGAGATAAGTGATATGTTAGATTGTTAGTTACAGTTAAAGTACACACTCTCTGAATTATACGGTTTTATATATCAAAACATGATAATCATCGGTTTCTAAACAGGTCTTATAATTGGGTAAATGCAACTTCCGCAACTCTCCTAAATGGAGAATTCTTGGGTGAAAAGTACACCTTATGACACAATAGCTTGTGGAACTATCTTTAGCAGCAATAACTTGCAGTAATCGTTTTCTGTGTAACTTTATCAGTCTCTTACACTGTTGTGGAGGAATTTGGGGCCACTCTTCTTTATAAGTTGCTTCAGTTCATTGAGGTTTGCTGGCATTTGTTGATGCACAGCTCTCTAAAGGACCACTATAGTGCCAGGAAAACATACTTGTTTTCCTGGCACTATAGTGCCCTGAGGGTGCCCCCACCCTCACGGTCCCCCTCCCGCCCGGCTCTGGAAAGGGGTTAAAACTTACCTTTTTCCAGCGCTGGGCGGAGAGCTCTCTGCCTCCTCTCCTCCTCCGTTACGCCCCGCCGGCTGAATGCGCACGCGCGGCAAGAGCTGCGCGCGCATTCAGCCGGTCACATAGGAAAGCATTCTCAATACTTTCCTATGGACGCTGGCGTGCTCTCACTGTGAAAATCACAGTGAGAAGCACGCAAGCGCCTCTAGTGGCTGTCAATGAGACAGCCACTAGAGGAAATAGGGGAAGGCTTAACCCATTCATAAACATAGCAGTTTCTCTGAAACTGCTATGTTTATGAAAAAATGGGTTAACCCTAGCTGGACCTGGCACCCAGACCACTTCATTAAGCTGAAGTGGTCTGGGTGCCTAGAGTGGTCCTTTAAGGTCCTGCCACAGCATTTAACCCCTTAAGGACACATGACGGAAATATTCCGTCATGATTCCCTTTTATTCCAGAAGTTGTGTCCTTAAGGGGTCTGGACTTTGACTGGGCCATTGCAACACTTTGATTCTTTTCTTTTTCAGCCATTCTGTTACATAGTTACATTGCTGAAAAGAGACTTGTGTCCATCAAGTTTAGCCTTTCTCACAAATGTTTTTGCTGTTGATCCAAAAGAAGGCAAAAAAAAAACCCAGTCTGAAGCACTTCCAATTTTGCAAAAAACTTGACCCCAAAATGGCAATCAGATGTCTCCTTGGATCAAGCAGCTATTACCCCACTAATTCCTTACGAAAATCGAACCAAATATCAAATATTTAGTCTCGCAGCATCAACCTCAAGGATCTCATTAATCATTGGTAAAGGTAATTTCAATTTACTTTATTGTTTTCTCATTAAACTTTATAAAGTTAAAAACATTATGAACATGCATTAAGTAGAAATAAAAAGATAAATGTACGTACATTTATTTATTTTTTTAAAACACCCTGCTTTCTAAAACATATTCTGCACTTGCGGGAAAACTGGTGGGCGGTAAGGACATTTTTCCATTAAGAACAGGGCCGGACTGGCCCACCGGGATACCGGGAAATTTCCCGGTGGGCCGTGGCACCTGGGGGCCGGCCGCGTTCCTGGGCCGGCCCTTTAAATACTGCAGCCGCCTGAGCGCTCTGTTAAGAGCCTCAGGCGGCTGCAGCTTCTCCCCTCCCCTCCCCTCCCCTGTAGCGTGGCCGAGCTGCACCCGGTTCCGTTGGACGGCGGCCGGAGTGATAGGGAAGTGCACCCTGAGTGCACTTCCTGTCAGTCCGCCGGGGAAACAGAAACCCTGTTCCGCCGCTGAGTTTCTGTTTCTGAATCGCCGGACTGACAGGAAGCACACCAGTGTGCACCTTCCCACCCGGCCGCCACGCCACAGGGGAGGGGGTAAGAAGAGGGGGAGGTAAGAACAGGAGGGGGGTAAAAGAGGGGGGGTAAGAAGAGGGGAGGGGGGATAAAAGAGGGGGGGAATAAGAAGGAGGGGGGATAAGAAGAGGGGGGGAATAAGATGAGGGATGGGGGAATAAGATGAGGGGGGGAATAAAAAGAGGGGAGGGAGGGGAATAAGAAGAGGGAGGGGGATAAGAAGAGGAGGGGGGGAATAAGATGAGGGGGGAATAAGAAGAGTGGAGGGCGGGGAATAAGAAGAGGGGAGGGGGGAATAAGAAGAGGGGAGGGGGGAATAAGATGACGGGGGAATAAGAAGAGTGGAGGGCGGGGAATAAGAAGAGGGGAGGGAGGGATAAGAAGAGGGGAGGGAGGGAATAAAAAGAGGGGAGGGGGGAATAAGAAGAGGGGAGGGGGGGAATAAGAAGAAGGGGCAGCTCTATAGGACAGGGGCCAAGACAGGGAGCTCTTTCACACTACGCGCACACACACACACACACAATCCATCCCTATACATACACAGAAACACAACATGCTTCCCTTACACACAGAGAAACACACAATGCATCCATTACACACACACACACAATGCAACCCTTACACACAAAGACAATGCATCCTTTGCACACATACACAGAAACAGGCAATGCAAACCCGTACACACGCATGCAAACACACACACTTCTTTTCTTACATACACACAGAAACACAATGCATCTCATGTACACACATACAGACACACACCTTGCATCCCTTATGCATACAAACACAGATTCACACAATGCATCCCTTACACACAACCAAAAACACATAATACATCCCTTATACACAAATACACACTGCTTCCACTACACACAAACACACTACATCACCTGCACAAACTGGTAACCCTATACACTACATACCATAAGCACACATATTAGATCCTCTACAATAACACATAACACATCCCCTACACACTCCACTCCCTGTGAGCGAACTCATGGGTGTGTGGAACTTATGAGTGGGCCTTATGGGCATACTCACCGTCAGGCCCTGGGGCCCAGACCTTGAGCTGTGTAAGGGGCCCGAAAAAAATTGAGCTGCTTCCAATTCTCCCAGAACATTGAATTTTGTGACCACAGTTGCAAACAGCCTCAAGAGATCCTGTTCTACACCAGACCAGTGGAGCCAAACTGCAGCCCATCATCATCCTCATCTGCTTGTAAGTAGGCAATCTAGTATATTATTAGTGACACTAATCTATAATTTACCTCACATTAAGGGGACACTATAGCTTAATGAAGTGGTTCTGGTGTCTATAGCTGGTCCCTGCAGGCTTTTTAATGTAAACACACACTGTGTGCAGCACTGGCGTTAGTTCATATGGCAGATCATATGGGTGGGGCATTGTGATGTGACATGTGGGGGCAGCAAATTTTTATTTTGTCTAGAGCGGCAAAAATCCTTGCACCGGCTCTGATCCTGGGCAGGTGCACCAGTCTACTTGACTGGTTTTGCCCCCCCAGGCCTAAGGCTGCCAGCCCTCCCCTGGCCGCTGGGGAGGTCTTTTGGCGGCCGCTGGCGGACTTGTCCTGGCGGCCGCTGAGGGAGCTGCGCTGGCTCTGCTCCCCAGCACGCAGCTGAATGAGACCGGCGCCGGAATATGACGTCATATTCCGGCGCCAGTCTCATTCAGCAGCGCGCGAGGATGGGAGGGCACTAACACAGGAAGCACCTTTAGTGACCGTCTGAGTGACTGTCACTAGCAGTGTCACTTTGAAGCAATGTAAACACTGCCTTTTGTCTGAAAAGTCAGTGTTTACGTTGAAAAGCCTGTAGGGACATGCTATAGACACCAGTACCACCACATTAAGCTGTGTGTGTGCGTCTACTAGTGAGTGAGCTTGCTTGCATGCGTGTGCCTGCTAGTGAGTGAGCTTGTGTTTTTATGTCAATGAGCTGATGTATATCAGTAAGATTGTTTGTCTATGAGGCTGTGTATCAATGAGCTTGTGTGTGTCACTGAAATGTCACTGAAATTGCCTATGTCTGCATGTGAGTATGCTTACTGTATAATTAAACGTTTTACCCTGAAAGGACCAATATTTTATATTAGAAAAAGCAATATATATATATATATATATATATATATATATATATATATATTTTAATATTACTCATATATTAATATTACTCAATCATCTGTCCTGGCAAGACATAGCCTTACATATTACACGCGACAATATATGGCGCAGTGACTTATGGGGCTGGCACAAATTTTTTTTCCAGGGCTGCTTTGTATCCCCAGTCCGGCCCTGATTAAGAAAGATGCATTAGTGGGCGGTAGGAAGAAAAAGGTTGACCACTGGTATAGATCATGCCTCTCAGGTTTCGCTACTCAAATCTCTGCCATTTAGGAGTTAAATCACATTTGTTACTGTTGATGCAGCCCTAGCGACACCTCCCCTGGGTGTGACTGACACATCCTGCATTTCAGTCAGATGTAACTTACTTTAAAAGCTTTAATCTCCTGCTCTGTAAATGGAACTTTATTTACATACATGAGTCTCCTGTAGGATCTAGCAGGCTATCAACAGAGCAGGAGATAGGGAATTCTAAATAATACAAAATTTGCAATAAAGGAAGTGTAAACATTAGACGACTTTTTAAGGAAGTGTTTAGGAACGCTGCATAAGTCACATGCAGGGAGGTGTGACTACGGCTGTGCAAACAAAGTGATAAAACTGCTAAATGGCACAGAATTGAGCTTCAAACACCAAAACCGCTTCATTAAGCTAAAGTTGTTTTGGTGACTATAGTGTCTCTTTAAATAAATCATGACACGGTGTAATATGTCCTGTGTTGTTGTTAATCTGCAGTTGTATTTACCTACTTTTAAGACTTTGTAAGGAACAGATAGTCATAATGTCCTGATATGTAAAAACCACATCATTCAAAGAGGGTGTACTTTCTTTTTCCCATGACTGTACATTGTTTGGCAAGTACTTATACACATGCTGCACGGCACTGATAGCAACTTTGTGGGTACTACACTAAGAGGACAACTGTCACTGCAAAATTTTTTTTGACATAATGATCCTTTAATCAAGTTTTGCAAGGAAGCAGATTTTTATTTTAAATGTAAAAAAAAATAAGAAAACTTGTGCCTTCAGTATATGACTGGATCCTTCCGCCATTTGCATACACCATGGGTCGGTCAGACAGTGAAAGCTGATAATCTCTATGGTCTTCCCTGCTTCACTCCCAGCACAGATGCATGGAAAACCATAGAGACTGTCGATTTTCAAACACTGTCTGACCCAGGGGTGTATTTACTGCGACGCTGACAAGGCATTTGCCTTGGACGGCACTTTCTGGGTGGCAGCAAAAAAAGCCGCCCCCCAATCGCCCTGGCAAATGCCTTGCCAGTCTCTTGTCCTGGGAGGCCCAGTAGCTGGCCACCTCAGGGCCCCCCAAGGCTGGCAGCGGTGGCACTTTCCGGGCGGGCTGCGAGGGAGCACTGATCCTCCTGTTCAGCTCCCTCGCGCCCACTGCAGTGATGCCGGAGCCGGCATATGACGTCACTCCAGCCCCGGCATCACTACGCGGCGCGCGAGGGATCTGAACAGGAGGATCAGTGCTCCCTCACCGCCCGTCCGGAAAGTGCCTAGGGGGGCCCTGAGGTAGTCAGCTGGCCAGCTCTGACCGACTGCAGTGACCAGCCAGCCGCCCAGCCCCACTGGACCCCAGGGAAAGCGAGAATCAACCCCAGCACTCCCAAAGGTAGGGAGGCTGTGGGGATTGAATTTAAAAATAAATAAAAAGAATGTGTGTGTTGGTTAGTGAGTGTGTGTGTGTGTGTTAGTGTGTGTGTCTGTTAGGGAGTGTGTTACTATATGTTTTTCTGTTAGTGAGTGTGTTACTGTGTATCTGTTAGTGTGTGTGTGTGTCTGTTAGTAAATGTGTTAGTATGCGTGTGTCTGTTAGTTAGTGAGTGTGTGGGTGTGTCTGTTAGAGAGTGTGTTAGTGTGTATGCATGTCTGTTAGTGAGTGTATGCGTGTTGGTTAGTGACTGTGTGTGTCTGTTAATGTCTGTTAGTGTGTATGCATGTCTGTTAGTGAGTGTATGCGTGTCGGTTAGTGACTGTGTGTGTCTGTTAGTGACTGTGTGTCTGTTAGAGTGTGTGTGTGTCTGTTAGTGAGTGTGTTACTGTATGTGTGTCTGTTAGTAAGTGTTAGTGTGTGTCTGTGAGTGTGTGTTAGTGTGTGTGTGTCTGTTAGTGAGAGAGTGTGTGTATGTTGTCTGTTAGTGAGTGTGTATATCTGTTAGCTAATGTATGTACGTCAATGAATGTGTATTTAGAAGGGGGGGGCAGCACAAAACCAGATACACCACTGGTCTGACCCCAGGCGCATGTATATGGCTGAAGGATCCTCTCCTATACTGAGAGCAGGGGTGAGTTTTTCCTAATCTTTTAACACTTAAAATAAAAATCTATTGGCCCTGCTTTGGAACAATTATAAGCAGATATAAAGGGGTATTTAAAAAAAAAAAAAAACACTATAATAAAAAAGAAAACTGTTTGTGGTGATTTTAAAAATGAATTGCAAAATCCAGGTCAAATTATTGAATTGGAATAGCAACACATCCATTTCAGCTATTTTGGCCCAAATTTTTACAATTGGGTCTTCACTTAACAAAAAGAAGAAACAAATATATGAATCTTCCTTTAATGGTCTTGTGATTACTTATTCTAGCTTGTTTATTCTATATCGATTTGCTGGCCCATCGTGATGTCAGCCAAGCTCATTGTTTTGTGAATTAACCCCAGGAATATTCCTCCTGCAGAGTATTGACAGACAGCCTCCAGTAGCTTTATCTTAAAGACAGAAGTTCTGCTCCAAATCTAAACAGAAGGGAAGTCGATTCTTTACCCGAGTTACAATTATAAATGATCATGTTTCCGGCCTCACAGAAGACCCACCTCCTCTTCCTTCCTCTTGCATGTGAATTTACTCCAGCAATTTTCAAACCCCCTTTGCACTTTTAGAAAGGGAGCATTTGTTAGCCCCACTGCTCTGGGATTTTCGTTCGTAATTTGGGGATTTATCTTTATTAAAATGGCTCTTTTATTGCACACGCACGTTTTACATCATGCTTCACTGACGCTCACTTTTCATATGCAGTCTGTAGTTTGCTTTAAAACCCTTTCCGATGGTAGGGCGGGCTACGAGGAGGACTCATGGCCCCTGGGAACTCTGGTCTAACTCTTAGTTTGGTCCCAGGGCAGGGATAGACAATTCCAGGACTCCTGGCTCTGATGGCAATCAGAAATGGGACCTGCCAATCAGGGAACAGGCAAAGATCACACAGACAGCTTCAGAGCTCTGATTGCTTGTTGTACTGACTGTCAGGACTGAAAGTGGAATTAAAGGCACACGATAGGCACCCAGACCACTTCAGCTCATTGTAGTGGTCTGGGTACAGTGAATACTAATCCCCCTTCCCCAGCCGGGATTCTTACCCTCCGCTCCGATCGCAATTGGGGGTCCTGCTTGAAAGCCCAGCCAGTCCCACTGTAGTCAATCTAGCTGTTTCCAGTAATGTGTTCGTGGTGACATCATAGAATGTGACGGCAGATAAGAACCATTCGGCCCATCTAGTCTGCCCAATTTTCTAAATACTTTCATTAGTCCCTGGCCTTATCTTATAGTTAGGATAGCCTTATGCCTATCCAACGCATGCTTAAACTCCTTTACTGTGTTAACCTCTACCACTTCAGCTGGAAGGCTATTCCATGCATCCACTACCCTCTCAGTAAAGTAATACTTCCTGATATTATTTTTAAACCTTTGTCCCTCTAATTTAAGACTATGTCCTCTTGTTGTGGTAGTTTTTCTTCTTTTTAAATATAGTCTCCTCCTTTACTGTGTTGATTCCCTTTATATATTTAAATGTTTCTATCATATCCCCCCTGTCTCGTCTTTCCTCCAAGCTATACATGTTAAGATCCTTTAACCTTTCCTGGTAAGTTTTATCCCGCAATCCATGAACCAGTTTAGTAGCCCTTCTCTGAACCCTCTCTAAGGTATCAATATCCTTCTGAAGATACGGTCTCCAGTACTGTGTACAATACTCCAAGTGAGGTCTCACCAGTGTTCTGTACAATGGCATGAGCACTTCCCTCTTTCTACTGCTAATACCTCTCCCTATACAACCAAGCATTCTGCTAGCATTTCCTGCTGCTCTATTACATTGTCTGCCTACCTTTAAGTCATCAGAAATAATCACCCCTAAATCCCTTTCCTCATATGTTGAGGTTAGGACTCTATCAAATATTCTGTACTCTGCCCTTGGGTTTTTACGTCCAAGATGCATTATCTTGCACTTATCCACATTAAATGTCAGTTGCCACAATTCTGACCATTTTTCTAGTTTACCTAAATCATTTGCCATTTGGCTTATCCCTCCTGGAACATTAACCCTGTTACATATCTTACTATCATTAGCAACAAGGGATTAACACATAAAGAAAAGTATGGACTATTTTTTATTACAACCATCTGACACTTGAAGAAAACTTGACAATGGGCGGAACTTAACGTAGTCATCATTTTTTTCCCCTCATAATTCCGAACTGTCCTCGTCCTCCCCAATGTGGGGGATTTACTGAACATGTCCGAGGAAGGGCAGGTGAATACGGACACCAATCCTCACTGCCACAGCAGCAGTGTTGGTGGCTCTTTGAAAGGACATTTGGTGCCATATAGAATTATTTTAAATGTTTTTAAACGCTGTCTGAGGGTAATACACAATTTAAAGCCCGGACAGCCCAAGTTTAAGCTGTGACAGAGTCCCATTAAAGGCACACTCAAAGCACCATAACCACTACAGATTATTGTACTACTACTGTTTATTTTAGTAATTATGGGTAAGGAGCGCCCCAGTTTTTGTCAAACTATTTTCAAGCAGTGGCTTCACCCAAAGCCACCCACTCGTTTTCCGACCTAATAACAGATCTGTTGGTATTAGGGGTGGGGAGAGTTTGTATGTATGTTTATACAGGTTTGTTCTCTTCCAATAGACATTTTAAATATAAGGCCAAAGTAGCTGAACTGGAAGCCCAGCTAATTTGGAGAATTTTTCCAATTTAACTACTTTGAGCTTAAATTTAAAATTCGCATCGAATTGCCACCAATTCTCATTTTAATAGAAAACCCTGATGGAATTGTTCAGAGCAGTCATTTCCAGCTATCGTAGTTTGAGAAGATAAATTAACCAGTTAGTATTAATGTCCCATAATGTGTAACTTGCTAGAGTACCATAACCTCCGCTTCCAGTGGCCTAGCAGGCCGACAAGATTCTTACAGCATATGTTAGAGTACTGCCAGGAAAGTCTATGTGATTGTATAGCTAATAAGGATCTTGTGTGGGTATAAATCCATTATAAACAGTGATAATCTTTGGTAATCTTTTCCAATTTAAACCAATAATTGGTTTATCTCTGGCAATCTGGGGATAAATTAGACACATATCCAGGAGTATGTTACTCGGCCAGAAGATGGGAACTCTGGTCTAACCCTTAGTTTGGTCCCACGGCAGGGATACAATTCCAGGTTAGTTTCCCTTTAATTCAAATCTTTTTCTACACAGTAACTTAATGTCAGACTTATTCACTTCAAGAGTTACTCCAAGCACCATGACAACTTGCTGTGCTGGTCACCCACCAATAATATCACTCAACCCGCCATTCAAGTGTGAGCTCACCTGCCAAGTCCAGGCAATACCTGTTAGGTGAGTCCTACACTAACAATTCGCCTTGCTGCATTAAGCCAAAGTCTCTATTGAGACAGAGAGGGGCATTTCTCTAAATGCCTACATACGTATTAACCCTTACTAGGAAACACATGGAGTGGGCGGCAGCATTGGAACATGGCTGTTTGATGCAAAAGCAAATAGAAACATATAAATTAAGCCCTGTGCTCAAACTCCCATTACCCCTGTGTAGGGGTTTAGAAAACAATACCCCTCTCTGTCTCATTAGAGGTGTTATCTTTTAGAGGAAAGCAGCAAGGTGAATTGTTAGTGTAGGACTCACCTTGACGTGGCAAGTGAGCTTACAATTGAATTGCAATAGGAGTGATACTAAAAAATCTCCTTTTATTTTATTGTCTCAAACCTAATCTGTGATATGTAGTCCCCTGTCCTGCTCTCCTTATTGTCTCGGTCCCAGCCTTGATGTTATCTCACCGAGAATTCCCTCCGAGTCCCAGGAGTCTCACTCCTAGTCTTTTATGTCTGGTCTCCATGTAAACTTTATAGACTTGGAGCAGTCTCCTAATCTGAAACATTTATTCGCCTTCCAAACTCTGTAGACTCAATTCTATAGAGCTGCTGCTGTCTCACACATATTCTGTGATATGTAGCTCTCTGCTGTCTCCTCTACAATGCACCGACCTGTTGCTGTCTCACAGCTAACAAGTGATGTCTAGCCCTAATCATGCACTATGAACTCCTGATGGTTAAAATCCAATATTTGCACACACACAGCCATCCCTCCCCCTCCCATGGACAGTGCACTCACCCCTACCCCAGTCTGACTGTCTCCCTGCACTCTCACAATTATCTCTGCAGACTGTGACACCCCAGAACACCACTACCCCAGCCTGACTGTCTCCCTGCACTCTCACACTTAGCGCTGCAGACTGTGACACCCCAAAACACCACCTACCCCAGCCTGACTGTCTCCCTGCACTCTCACACTTAGCTCTGCAGATTGACACCCCAGAACACCCCTACCCCAGCCTGACTGTCTCCCTGCACTCTCACACTTAGCTCTGCAGACTGTGACACCCCCAAAACACCCCTACCCCAGCCTGACTGTCTCCCTGCACTCTCACACTTAGCTCTGCAGACTGTGACACCCCAAAACACCCCTACCCCAGCCTGACTGTCTCCCTGCACTCTCACACTTAGCTCTGCAGACTGTGACACCCCAGAACACCCCTACCCCAGCCTGACTGTCTCCCTGCACTCTCACACTTAGCTCTGCAGACTGTGACACCCCAAAACACCCCTACCCCAGCCTGACTGTCTCCCTGCACTCTCACACTTAGCTCTGCAGACTGTGACACCCCAGAACACCCCTACCCCAGCCTGACTGTCTCCCTGCACTCTCACACTTAGCTCTGCAGACTGTGACACCCCAGAACACCCCTTACCCCAGCCTGACTGTCTCCCTGCACTCACACTTATCTCTGCAAAGTGTGATACGCCAAAACACCCCCTACCCCAGCCTGACTGTCTCCCTGCACTCTCACACTTAGCTCTGCGGACTGTGACACCCCAAAACACCCCCTACCCCAGCCTGACTGTCTCCCTGCACTCACACTTAGCTCTGCAAACTGTGACACCCCAGAACACCCCCTACCCCAGCCTGACTGTCTCCCTGCACTCTCACACTTAGCTCTGCAAAGTGTGATACCCCTAACACAGAAGCTTTACCCTCTCCTACCCACCTGGATACCAAACAAAACACCACCTAAACTGTCTGAAACTCTCCATTCCCAGCGCTGCTCCACTCCCAGACCCTGGCTGTCTAATGCCAGACACTCCCCTAGCCAATCCCTGCTGTCTCTCCCTCCACCCAGCTCTGCGCTGTCTCTTCCTGCCTGTGATTGAGACCCAGCCCTCCTGTAGTCACTTCCCACCGCACCCTCTCTTTGAGACTGCAGCCTGCAAGAGACAGAGCACTCTCACATCTAACACTCTGGGACTGTCGGTCTCCTGGGTGATCCCTTTGATTTCGGTGGAAAAAAAGGAAAAACTAAAAACTAACTTTCTTTAGTTGTCATTGTTGAAAACTATTACTTTTAGAAAGAAAGATGTCAGAACAGCCACAGGTGGAGCTGTTTGTAAAGGTGAGAGACATTTCTTTATATTTGCAATATGTTTTATTCTTGTTAGTGTTTCTGTAGTTTGTACAAGTTGTTACTGTGTTGCATTTTAATATACAGCTTAAACTATCTGTGTTATTATAATATACATGTAGTAAATTGTGTGTGAATCTGTATATATAACATGCTGTTTGTGTGATCTATAACTTTGCAAAGTGTTTTGATGGGAGAATTCAGATCCTGAGTCAATGTGTTACATACTGGTCTCAGTGTTTAATATAAACACACACAGATACTGTCACTAGCAAAGCAACTTGTTTTATTTGGTACATTTCACGTTTAAAACCCATATATTGGTGTAGTGAAATAAACCGATACTATCCATAAATTAATATTAAGAGACTTATACCGCGTTATATGAATTGGGGCAAGTTAGAAGTCATAATTTAGGCCCGAATAGATGAGTTTGAATCATTAGCCTCTATAATTTCACACTTTTTAATTATTTTTATTTTTTTACAATTTAGTAAACAATCCCATGATAGTATTTATATCTGATATACGTAATCATTTCTGATATTAAAACTTGCCATTTTTTTTTTGTGAATGTATTTGGTGTTCGCTAAATAGTAAATGTTTTAATTCTGGTGTTTTTCGCCTGTATTTTATCATTCTGTGTTCAGTTTCGGCGATTCACTAAACAGAGAATGGACCAGGCAGTGTACTTTTAAAGCTAAATAGCTGAAAATGCTTTTTTTTTGCCTCTGGTGTTAACTACTAATAAAGATACATTTTCGTGAATAACCGTGACTGTTTAGTGAGTAATTCCCATTATCGACAGCTTGACACACTCCATTGTGTGAATGGGCTGCAGTTTAGCATAGGAAATATCTGGTCAATTCATCATACAGGAACTGAGATCAGACTTCTTTAACATTTTAAGACTAGGCTGAAGAATTAGAAGACAAAGCTACTAAAGTGGGGGATTCCAAATTAATTAAAATTTTTACTCCACAATGGCTGAACTGAAAGTAGTACTATTCACCAAAGTGAGAATTAAAAGTGAATTTCAAATCCAAGGTAAATATATCCAAAGTGGAAACATTGCTTAGCGCTCGGCTGTTTGGCCTCAATTTTACATTCACTTTGAAATCTTTCTCTGTTCTCACTTTGGTTAAAAAGATCCAGATAGTTTGAGAGTTTTCCAGATCAGCTATTGTTGTGTAAATTATTAAATTTGCTTTTTTACCAACAGTTCAGACACAAAATTACGTCTGTCTTCATTACGCACTGCGAGCTATGGACCGCTGTAATTGTCCCCTCCCACCACGCCTCCCTACATTGTTAAAATCTAAGCCCTGTCCATACATTTTAACGGCCAGTCCTCACTTTGCCCCACCCCCAATATCTGTGCAGATCTCCCTCCGTCGATATATCACGCCAACTGATACTGTCTTAAAGGAACACTATAGCGTTAGGAATACAAATATGTATTCCTAACGCTATAGAGCCCTAGTCACCTAAATGGTGACCAGGGCCCCGTTCCACGGCGAATAATTGGTTAATTAACCATTTATTTGCATACCTAATCTGGGGCCGGGCTCCCTCAGCACTGGTGACGTTTCCTCATCCATTGACATCAGCTCCCGAGTGGATCCGAATGTGCATGCGCGGCCAGAGGCACGTGCGCTTTCAAACACGCCCATAGGAAAGCATTACTCAATGCTTTCCTATGGGGATCTTTTTTGACGCTGGATGTCTGTGAGGACGTCCAGCGTCAAATAAGTGTGATTTACTCCGTGCAAATCGAGGAAGTGCCTCTAATGGCTGTCAGGGAGAAGGTCACTAGAGGCTGGATTAACCCTGCAGTGTAAACATAAGTTTCTCTGCAGGGTTAAAACTAGGAGTACCTGGCACGCAGACCACTTCGTTGAGCTGAAGTGGTCTGGGTACCTATAGTGGTCCTTTAAACACAAAAATACACGTTTCTTGGCATTTTCATATACTACATATAGTGTTGGTAAATGTAATATACACCATTATCATTGTACAGTGCTATGGAATTTTGATGGCACTATATAAATAATGATGATGACCATAATTCTATTTTTTTTTTATAATTACCATATATACATAGGCTTTGTGATTTTGTTCCTTAACCTCATCTTGTACTGAACTGAAGGCTCAAATCGTTGGATACATCTATATTTGAGCTGGAGAATTGTTTCCACAGTCCCTATTTTTGCCTAAATTTAGCAATTTGGTTTTCAGGTCACAAGAGTTCAGCTTTTAGTGAAAACATTTCTCCTTCGGGCAGAGTCTCGCACTATGGCCCTGAAACCATTTAATGTTGTTCAGTAAAGCAAGGGGTAAACAACCTTCAGCCAGATTTTGTGGACTACATCTCCCACGATGCTTTGCCAGTATTATGGCTGCTAATGCATTATGGGCGATACAGTCCATGTCATCTGGAGTGCCCAAGGTTGTCTACCTCAGCACTACAGTGAGAATTAAACCTTAATGTAACTTTTGGCCAACAAACAAACTGAAAACATAGTATTAAAGGACCACTATAGTGCCAGGAAAACATACTGAGGGGTTAAAATCTTACCTTTCTCCAGCGCCGGGCGGGGAGCTCTCCTCCTCCTACCCGCCTCTTCTCCTCCTCTTCGGCTGAATGCGCATGCGCGGCAGGAGCTGCGCGCGCATTCAGCCAGTCTCATAGGAAAGAATTCATGATGCTTTCCTATGGACGCTTGCGTCTTCTCACTGTGATTTTCACAGTGAGAAGCACGCAAGCGCCTCTAGCGGCTGTCAAGAGACAGCCACTGGAGGCTGGATTAACCTATTTATAAACATAGCAGTTTCTCTGAAACTGCTATGTTTATAAAAAAAAATGGGTTAGCCCTAGCTGGACCAGGCACCCAGATCACTTCATTAAGCTGAAGTGGTCTGGGTGCCTAGAGTGGTCCTTTAACATTTACTTTAAACTGAATTTGTAATTTCACCTTTTTAGCAAAAAAAACACGTCAGAAGAAGCAGGGTTATGTTATTAACCTCCCATTTCCAATGCAGTCCCTTATCTACCACAGTTAAGTGAACACACTCTGTGTTATGTAGTAACACGGGTTATGATTCCATGAGAATGTACTGCTCGCCCCAGGCTTGACTAGGCCTGCACATCATAGGTTGAAGAATAGGGAGCAGGTACATGTGTGGGAGGTGGAATTGGGGCTTTGTTTGCTACTGACCACGTGTGGGTAAGCAGGGTAATTAGGATCTGGAGGGGAGTTTATATATGATGGGTTATTAGAGGGCGTTGATAATGGCAGCTGGGAACGTGTTGAAATCTCATGTGACCATGCGGTTAGACTGTCAAAGTATAAGTGAATGGAGGTAGTAATTGGTAGACTGAATGGAAGCATGGTAGGGGTTATTCAAGGTAAACTCTGTATGGAGCAGAGAATATAATGTGGGTACCAGAGAAGGTAGGTGCCTGATGGCAGGGGTGATAGGTGGACAGACCTACAGAATGCAGAAAAAAAACCTTTCAGTTATTCACTAAAGAGAGAATTGTGGCGATTTCAAAGTGAATTTCGAGATTTAAGTCAAAATTGGCAAATTGGAAAAAATCTCGAAGACAATTATGTTTTTAGATCCGCTATTTTGCTTTATTTTTGACATTTCGCTTTTAGCAAATAACCCTTTTTTGTTCCTTGTAAAATGACTAAGTATGGGTGTGATGCTTGCCCTGTACTCTGTCGGAGAGGTGGATACCCGTCATTGAAGCACTAATGGAGGAAGTTTAATATAAGGGAATGATAAAGTCAGGCGTATGAATGGGATGAGACAAGAACAAATAGATAAGCGTAGGAATGATCCCTGATGGTCCACGGAGTGTTACAATGTAAAGATAGTGGGAAACGTTTAATATTCCTATTGCTATATTAATGGGTGAAAGGCTACAGAGAGAGTGAATTAGATCACAGGAGATCATCGCGAGATGGCTGGCAGTGGTGTGATATAATCAGGGGGTTTACTGATGGGTTAACGGAGGGAGGGAATGAGATAATACAGAATGCTTCCTGTGTTGCAGCTGCTTCGGTCCTGCAGGAAATATGATTTATCTACAAACATCCTGTACACGTAACAGCCGCACCATTCATGGCCAGTGTACAGATAAATATATATACACATTCTTATGTAAAATGGACGGACTACGAAAATAAAATCGCACAGCTAGTACTTTTTCACACTTGTTGTGCCACATTGCATTGGGTGGCTTGCACACATGACAAATAACAATAGATATGGCTCCCTCGCTGAACTCCTCCAACTGACCAGAAGTAAAAACGTCTTATCGGATACCATGATACATTGACATTTTGTAAGGGTAAAAATACATGAAGTTTGGGTGCTTTCGAGGTGTTTTTTTCTTTCTTTCAAAAGTAAAACTTCTTCTCAAATAAGATTTTACATGTGTTCATATAGCGTAAGGCATTACTCCACCTCCCATGAGAGGAGTGGTTGTGGTGGTAGGAATCTGTATGCGCAGTATTACTACTTGAAATGGTGTACATTCACTTTTGTGCCAGGAGGTAGATGTATGTCTGGCACAAGTGACTTACGCAGCGCTGAAACATAATGTTAAATCTGCGAAATGGCTCTGTCTATGGAGAATCTCGCAGGGTCTTCCATACACCAGAGTGTTGTAGTCACTGACATGCGCAAGGGTACAAGCTGATGTGGGTTCCTGGCACCTAAAGAGGACTAGCAGGAAATGCATGGCAGTGTCCGCTACTGACAGATTTGTGTAACTATAACTTGCCACCCGCGGCAACTGGACACCCAACGGCAAAATAATGGTCAGAGGTCTTTGAAAATGAAGGGAAGGCCTCAGACGGTGACAGAGCTGCTTTAATATGGTTAAATTGTCTGGTTCTTGTGACATAAAAAAATATGGAAGTGAGAGCAACTGGCTGGAAAGATAGACAGCTGTCCCAATCACACAATCTCCCTCTCTAAAATCCCCTCTTCAAAATGACTCACAGTGTTTCATGTGCAATGCAACCCCAAGCAGCTGCATTAATTCATAAAAAAAAAAAATCTGAAAAATAAATAAATAGGGGACATTGTTGTCCAAATGAGTTAAAGATGCCACCATATATTTTACTTCAGCATTCAGCGTTCTCATTTGGTTTTATTCCACAAATTTGTGCCTGCAATTTGTGACCGAGCAAAGGTTGTGTTGAGTTTAAACCGTTTTGCAATAATTTTGTTTTTCTTTCTTCGGCTGAGCATGATAAACATTTAGCTAAATTCACCCCCTACATTCCCACTTTGTAGGGAATCGTTCTTTGAGCTCTTTTGATGCTCGGTGCCCTCCATGCCCAAGGAAAATCAATCTTTTATTTAAGAAGAATTGCTGAACAGATTTATGAAGGATTAACGCAAACTACAGGCAGGGTTAAAATGCTATATGATGGATGGTAATTAACCTTTGATGATATTGCCATTTTAAAGGCCATTAAATTCTTGCAGAACACATTGGTCTCGTTCTGACACAGTCATATAAATGCTTGTCTGTTGTCATGATGTCACCTAATTCCTAGAATAGCCCTACAAATATATTCATACCTCTAGCCACATACCTGCGTTGGTTATTTGAAATGTCAGGAGTGCAACAAACCCTAGCACTAGGTTGTCATGGTAACTTGAAATTCGTTCTTGGAATCTCGTGTGCAGCTGCGTAAAATATTTGCATTGTGCCGTAAAATTTGCTTCTTAAAGGAACACTATAGAGTCAGGGATATATGTGTATTACTGACACTAGGGGTTTAAAGCATAGTTTAGGTACCTGGCTCCCCTAATCTTACTTTTAAAAATATGTAAAACTCACCTTTATTTTAGCTCCATGCCGGTCTCGTCACGGCTGGCTCCTCCTTGCTCATTCTCCTTGGCTGAGATCATCAAATTTGATGATCTCAGCCAATCCAATGCTTTGCTTTTCCATAGGAAAGCATTGATATGAGTTTAAAGGGACACTAATGGTGTGTTCAGTGTCCCATTATTATTTTTATTATCGCCATTTATATAGCACCAACAGATTCTGTAGCGCCTTACAATATTATAAGAGGGGGGATTTAACTATAAATAGGACAACTACAAGAAAACTTACAGGAACGATAGGTTAAAGAGGACCCTGCTTAAACGAGCTTACAGTCTATAGGAGGGGACTCTGTGAGGCCATAAGCTTTTCTAAAGAGATGGGTTTTAAGGCACTTCTTAAACGGTTGAAGACTAGGGGAGAGTCTGATGGCGGTAGGCAGGCTGTTCTGTAAGAAGGGAGCTGCACACGAGAAGTCCTGCAAGCGTGAGTTGGCTGTACAGGTGTGAGCAGCGGACAGGAGTAGGTCACGGGCAGAGCGGAGAGACCGAGAAGGGGCATACCTATGGATCTGTGAAGAGATGTAAGAGGGGCTAGAATTGGTCAGTGCTTTATAGGTATGGGTTAGCACTTTGAATTGACAACTATAGGATACAGGAAACCAATGTAAGGACTGACAGAGGGTTGAGGTGTGATTGGACCGACTAGAGAGGAAAATCAGTCTGGCGGCAGCATACCCACAATTTGTGTGTGTGTGTCTCTCTCTCTCTCTCTCCATACAATCATACGCAGAGACACACATTTGTCTGAATGTGCCGTACTGCGCTGGAGCATCAGTGGGCAATGGTTTTGCATACACAAATGATGAAGATTTAAGTACATTTTATACGTGCCTCGACTGTACTGTACTATACCATCCCAGTTAGCACTTCTGTAGAAGAAGAAATTACATGTCTGTTATTATTCTCCTGCGCTGCAGTACCAGGGAGAGCTGTAACCATGGGTGTAGGAAACCGTCACCAACCCAACCAAACCTCCTATCCTTCCCCGCCCCCCTCCCCCCATGTTTTATTGTTAAGACTGTTTGTTTTTTTCTTATCTTATATAGCAGTGTTATAAGCATTGGTTATCCAATTCCACTAACAGACTTCCTGGAGATAATATATCATTTTACAATTAGAAAGCTGAATGGTTTAATGCTCCCTAAGAAGGACTGGAATTATTATGAAAGTCTGTGGCCTCCAATTCCATCTCTTGGGATGCATCCTTACTGTGTGCATCATGAAGATCTGAGCCCATATTCTTACAAACCGTGAGAGTCAGAATTCTGAACCCCTGATCATACCAAGAGAGACAGGGAGGGAGGGGCCTGGATTTTAGCTGAAAATGGTGAGGTATGGATCAAGCAGACATTTGGGACTGTCTGTGATGGTTGATGCTCTTGAGCCAAAACAGTGAAATTTCTTATTTTGTTGCTCAAAGATGATTGACTGCGGCAAAACAAAGAATCAAGTAAACTGATACTCTGGGAATGTTAAAGGGGGTTAAAGACACAGAATTATTTTTTTTCTTACAATGTGCTAAATATGTTAGCTAGCAGATACTATTAAAAAAAAAATAATGTTTTTAGTGGGTGCAGTTTAATAGGATGATGTGGGTGATCACTTAACTGTTGTCTAGTAAAAAAAAAAAATGATCTTATGGGTTTTAGCCACTAACCAGTGATTCATATTGCATTAAACATGTTGCAACATTTAGTTTAAAAATGTCTCCAAATTAAATCATTGAAGATATTTTTTCTGTTGTGGCCTAAATTTTCACCTGTAGTTGGAGAGAAACCAGACCCCAGACTGTATCCTAGTTTGTTCAAACTATTAATAAGTATTGATAAACAAGCGCCCGTCTGATCAGAACATTTGCAACTGATCATTTTAATCTGAACCATCCTTTGTAGTGACTCTTCCAGATGGCTATATCTGCACTTATTTACCTGTATAACCATGGTATTTCCCTGAAGGCTACAAGATATAGATCTATATATTTTGTCATTTAAGCATGCTTTGCAAATTCTCCAAAAACAAAAGTCTTGTTGTAAATATAAAATTACTTTTTATTAAGTTTTATGATGAGTGACCATCTATTTTTGGAGATTTAAAACCCACACATCAATAAGGCTAATGGATGGAGATTGCATATAATTTATAAGATGCAGTTGTGTATCCCCTTCCCGCAGGTGTAATTTCCCTTTAAATAAATAGGTAGTTGAAACGAGCCGGCAAATATAAAGAACCTGTTCGGTTCAAATGCACCTACGCAGACAGGTGCTCTGCGGATTGGAGTATAAAATTACAGCCAGGAGCCTGCTCAATTGCAGAATGCACTTCAGTCCTCGCTCAGTGATTGTAGCATTGCCGTGATTCAATTTGCCCCCTTTTTTTTTTTAACATATTCTCTATTATTCGCGTTTGTATAGACGCCAACAAATTCTGCAGCTCTTTATTGTTTTCACAATGGAGATATAAACAGACGATTGACGAACAATATAACAAGGAGGTAAGGAGGACCTTGCACAAGTGAGCTCACAATCCACCAACATGCAGTATTTCTTATTGAATACACTACATTTAACATTAGATGCAGCACTTTTTTTCTAATTAAGCAATTCTTTTATTTTAACAAAAGGAGTGTGGTTTTTATTTTTTATTTTTAGTTAAGTTCATTAGACTAAGAACATTACTAGGAAAAAAAAGTTGGTCATTCACTGTTTCATAAATAAAGCCGTGAAGAATTTGTGCTGGGTCTCTCAACTATTTGGGGATAATATTTTTTGGGGACTATAAAGGGGTTGGCGACTGTCCTGTGCCATGTAGCTCAACATATTGTTATAATGTACCTTTGCCTGCTTTTTGTTTTTGTGGATTGTTTTTTTTACAATTTAAGAATTGCAGTTGCTGGCTATGTTTGCGTCTCACCAGTTTTAAAACCTTTTTATGACTAGTGTAATTACTGTGTATTAGTTTTCTTCTCCTCCGCAAGTAATTTCCCTACAGCAGTCATTTGTAACCCATTGGGACCAAACACAGTGTTATGCTATTCCATAGAGGCGTTTTTGTTAAAGGAACACTATAGGGTCAGGAACACAAACCTGTATTCCTGACCCTATTTTGTTAAAACCACAATCTAACCCCCACTTGCCCCGTAAATCTAGCAAAATCTTACTTTTATTCCAGTCTGCTGCTAGATCTGCCTGATTGGCTGACCTCATCAGAAGTGATTCTCTTGGCCAATCACAATGCTTTCACAAAGGGAAGCATTGGATTGGCTGAGCTTGTTAAGGAGGCAGATTGGGGGCAGAACCAGCACATATCAAACACAACCCTGGCCAATCAACTTCTCATAGAGATGCATTGAATCAATGCATCTCTACGAGGAAATTTCAGTGTCTGCATGCAGAGGGTGGAGACAATGAATGGCAGGCACAGTGTGCAGCACTGACCACGGGAAGCACCTCTAGCAGCCATCTGAGGAGTGGACAGTGGAGTAATCACTAGGCTGTAATGTAAACACTGCATTTTCTCCAAAAAAGCTGTGTTTACTGCAAATGGCCTGAAGGGACTGACAATACTCACCAGAACAAATGCAAATACGCTGTAGTTGTTCTGGTGACTGTAGTGTCCGTTTAATTATAATGGGCTCCACAAATTCTTAAAACCCAGGTAACTGCCAAAGAGGTCTAGTTGCACGGTGAAAGCAGAGTGCTAGACTATTTGGGTCAGTCTGGCAGTAGGAAAAGCATAATGAAGGCAATTTATAGTATCTCGTTTATTATATATTATTTATTGCAAATCAGTCACTGAGCTAATTGTAATGGATGAATAGATTCTTTAAATTGTGTGGAATTTGGGTCCTTGGTCAATAGAAGAAGCCTGCCATATTCTCACATATGCACAGAAGTACATCATTGTGGTCTATGGAGGATTCTGTGTGACCGCAGGATCTTCTATAAACCAACTCCTCGAGACGATTACCCTTTTCCATTGCTGCCCTTTGTCAGTCTTGTAGGAGCCACTTTACGAACCCACTGCTCGGTGCACATTCTCAGACCGTCTATTCCGTGTTTCCTTTATATATCATTTTCTCTGCTCCAGGCTTTCTCCACCACTGTGTCAATCACCGAAAGCAGTCTAACTGGAAACCATTTACTTTGTAACTGGGGAAAAATGCAATGCACAAACCTGACGGCTTTGTCAGCAGCAATATATTGTATGGGGGTATTTGCACTGCTACAGCTTTACAGCCTCTCTGTCACTTGGAAGTATGTCGTGAACATATACAGTGTTATTCAAGGTAAATTCAAAGTGAATTTCAAATTTAAGGTGACAGTAGATGAACTGACAAAATTCTGCCTGCTGCGCTTTCTACTCAGCAATTCTGGCCTTAGATTTAAAATCTCCTGAGAATTCTTACTTTAGTAAATATGTATGATCATTTTTATGAAGTACTCCTATTGGCTGCATTGGGATGTTATTGAAATCGAACACAAACTGTATGATAAAACAAATTAGAGACTACTTTGTCTTATTGTTCACGCCCGAGGATGACATAACACAGCTCTTCTGTTGTCAAGTTCTGCTAATTTGCACAGAAAGTGATGGTAACGGCTATGGGAAGATACTTCTTTTCACACATTGTGAGATACGTTTCATGGAGTATCCTGTGGTCTAGCAAGATCTTCCATTGACGTCGCTGTTGTACTTTGCGCATGAGCAAGGGTACAGCAGTGACACGGCTCCTGGTGGATGACGTACAGGCCAAGCAGCCATGTCACCTTCGGAGGTCGCAGCAAACTATGCAAAGACCCCCAAAGTAAACCAGCTGCCTTATAGCAGCAATCATTTTACCAGTTACTTCTGCCTTTTTTTAACGTTTGCTTTTATCCTCCAGTTGTTTTAGCTGCTAACCACAATTTTACTCATTTCTCCATTCTGCTGCAGGGCTCTTGTAGCTGCTCTACGCGTTTCGTCGATCTGCCTTCTTCAGGAGCGTCTGAGGAAGTCGGATCTTCGAAACGCGTAGAGCAGTTACAAGAGCCCTGCAGCTTTGGTAAAGCAGTCTTTTTCTACTTGTACACTGTTATTGTTTTTATTCTTTTTAGTATACTTTGTGTAATGTTTAGTCTGCAGCTTGTGGGAGAGTGACTTTAGAATCTTTGCACTCTTGCACTTTGGCACATGCACTTTCAATACTATTACAGTGACTTGTATGTTCTAAGCTGCTGTCCATAGGGGCTTTTAGCCATATTTGGCTTTTTATAAATACTTTGCGATTTTGCAATGTTGTGTGCTATTGCTTATTATTTTTTTACTTGCAATAAAGTGGATGTTCTTTTTTTCAATGATTGTCTCTTCTATCTATGGGAGTCTCCAGATTAAGTTATATTTATTCTGTGTGATTGTGGCGCCCTGTTTTCTCCGATTTTTATGTTCAGGATTTTGTTGTATCTATTTATAGAGGTTTGGGAGTGACCTCATGACAGTGGCTTGCCTGCCTAGGTAATTATCTATTTTACCACCCACCCATCTACTTTTTGGTCTTTACATGAAAATGCCTGAAGGGAGCTATTATACTCACCAGAACAACTACAATAAGCTGTAGTTGTTCTGGTGACTTTATTGTCCCTTTAAATTTAAAAAAGCTGCATATGTAATTCTTCTAATTCAAATCTTTGGTGTAATCGTGTATGTATCTATATTTGGATAACGTTGTATTATCATGTACTTCTGTAGTCCTTGTGCCGTGATTAATTCCCATATAACTTGCCTTTTACAACGTTTTATTTCTTTATTGTTTTTCCGGTTTAAAGATTTCTCACGTCCACTGTTTGAGTGGCGAGTTTGACCCTCGGGCATGCCTGTTTGTAACGCTGAAAGGCTTGTTCCCCAATAAATGTGCAGAATCCTTTGGCCATATAACACTAAATTGTGATGATGAAATAAACGCCAGCTTCATTGGTAAATTGCAGTGAAGCAACGTCCAGGGCCCAATATATTGTGTTTTTATAGCACTACATGACCCTAAGAACAAGTTCGACCTGTTTTATCCTTAACTAATGTAGTGACTTTATGTATTGACTGTGGAGAGAGCACATCTGCGCCTTTGTTTACACCCCTGGAGCCGCCTGTTAGCAGAACACATGAGGTTTTTATCATTTTTGTTGAAAATAGACCTGCAGAGAATGCGCAGTATGGGATGTGACGTCACGTGTGCGATACCTCACCCATGATAGCACTGCGTGTATGCACATCAATATTCCGTGCATTTTTCACCTGTCAGACCTTTCACACTGCCTTACATTTTGTGTATACAATGTCACACCTATGGCTGATCAAGATTCGCTTCCACACAGATAAAACCCATTAGGCTGGTCCAGATTTGTTGTCCGTGGTAGCAGGGTGATCAAAGATTTTATTTTGTTTGGAATTTATAATATAAACAAAATATTTATAAAGCCATCAAACGGTATCCACCTACCTGAATTCCTCATAGATTTTAAGCTAATTTTAGCGAGACCTTCTTCACCCCTCAAACATAACCGCTTTTTGGAATTGTTAAGTTCTGCAGAATCTATTGGCACTAATAAAAATGTATTATTAACTTAAATCACAGTAATTTATAACTGCACAAATTGCTGTGTAAATAGGGAAATGCATCCCAAATACATAGCTTTTAGATATATCTTAATCTTGTCTTATTGGCTAACAGTACAGTGCAGGTTTAGTGTTAACCTGTTCTTACTGACATACGGGGTTATTGTCTGTACTAGCCTTGTGTGCGAATGCTGGTACGAACTAATCAAATTCCAATTAGTCTACGCCTGAGCAAATCAATCCACAGGGGAGTTACCTGTTGAGTCTTATTCATTGAATAATTGACTGCCTAGGCAAATCCAGGACAGATCGATCCGTTCTGGCGGAGATTAAGAGGAATTTAATTTGTTTGTAACCGCCGAAACACATTTGTGCACAAGTCTAGTACATACTGGGCTAGGACTGTGTTTTGTTATACTGTTTCTCCTCTGTAACACTTGTATGGCTTAGGTTAGTCGTTTTCTTTGATCTCACTGCTGGTTACTACTAGATTTTGCAGTGTTTAATTTGTTACTCAGCATGTCGATATAGCACTCTCTCCACGAGTGATTAAATAAAATAAATGTGGCCGGTAGAGCTCTCCATTATGAAGAAAACATGCTGAGTGCCCCTCGCCAGCCAGTTTTCTTACTATGGATATAATGAACTTGGTGTAATAACTGCGACTGATCTGTCTGCAGAGAGTGTGACTTCTTAGTAATCAGACAGATCTCACTCGGCTGATCAGCTCTCTGGGGCCACGCCGTTCCTGTGGAACTACCCAGCCACCATTCCTTCTACAAATCATTAAAAACTCACTTTTTAAAGCAAGCCTATCAATTAACCAGTTAATCGCTTTCCCTCTCCACACCTTGCTTCCTCTACTGCAATTGTGTCATCCAGAAAACAAACCCTTCATTGTAAACTATTCTAGTAACCTACTTTTTCCCGTACATTAAATACATCCTACCCTTTCCTCTTGTGTCAATATCCCACAATATACCATATTCCCTTTAGAATGTAAGCCTGCTTGCGCAGGTCCCTCAACACCCTCTATTCCTGTTAATCAAACTCGCTTTGTTCCAAATACTGGTCTGTTAGTCCACCTATTGTAATTTGTCAAACCGTTTTTTTTTTAATGTGGATCCCACTGGTTGGCCATAGCTCTTGCATCTGATTCTCCTGCAGAAAAATCCAGTTGGCTTCACTGAACTAAGCAGGGCCGTACTTCCTGGCTGAAAGTGTCCGCTGAATGCTCTGACAGTGGTCTTCTATTGGCCATGCTTAGTTGCTGAGAGACATCCAACTTCTCCTGTAGGAAACCATTGAATGCAGTGCAGGGGACATAGGCAAGTTTAGAAACTATTCTAAAATGGTTTGACAAATTACACTGTAGCAGCGCCAGGGCACACATTGCACAATAACCACTACAGAGAGCCAATTCAGGCTTGTTCTACTGTGCCTGTTTCTCTACGCAGGTAAAAATAGGTTTAGCCGATATTATAATGGCAGATCGTCTGAATATTTTAACTAGGCAGATGTGTATATTGCTTTTTGTAATCCTGTAAATTTAAATCACTTTGTTTTATTTTTGCTGCCAAGCATTTAGCAATAAAGTGAAAACAGGAAGGGAGTGACAGAGAAAGGTCATTTAAATCTCGCTCCTCTCATCAGGCTAGTTTTTTAAATTGGTCTTTTTGCTTGGTGGGGTTGCTGCCAAATTTGACATGTCTCCTGGAAGTCTAGATGGTCGCCCTACGAAGGATAATTGAGAAAATTACCTATATTCTCTGTCTGAAGAGGTAACACAATCTGTAGGCCTCAGATAATCCTAGAGACAGACAGCATTTAATAAAGCAATTATAAACCATGTTTCTCAGTGTAATCCGGCAGCCTTTTACAGGAGTCGTGATCGCCAAGAGCTGAAGTGCAGGTCTCTATCCATCATTGACCTAAAGTAAGCAGCTTGTGGCATATTGGTTCTATGAACTGTCAGCCAGCCGTCGACTTACAGAGAAACTTGAGAGTTGTAGTTATACAGCTTATTGTATTGTTCTGGTGAGGAGAGTCATTCCCTCAAGGCTTTTTGCAGTAAACACTTTTTTCAGAGAAAATGCACACTCACTGACAAACACACATACAAACTCCTTGACAGGCAGGCAGACACACACACACTTTTTTCAGAGAAAATGCACACTCACTGACAAACACACATACAAACTCCTTGACAGGCAGGCAGACACACACACACTTTTTTCAGAGAAAATGCACACTCACTGACAAACACACTTTATTTGTATTTTTTTAATTTCACTCCACCCAGTCTCCCTACTTTGGGAGTGCTGGCATGGAGTCTCTATTTCTCTGGGGTCCAGTGGGGCTGCTGGGCTGAGCGACAGGGGTCCCGTGGAGCTGCTGGGCTGAGCGGCTGGCGTGCAGTCCCTGGGGTCCAGTGAGGCTGAGTGGAAGGAGTGCGGGCGGCAAGGGACCTGTGATCTTTCTGATCAGCTCTCTCGCACGCCTCTTGGTGATGACCGAGTGACATCATATTCAGGCTCCAGCATCGCTGCTGTGCGCATGATGGAGCTGACCCGGAGAGAGTTCTTCCTCGCCGCCCATGGCCATTTTGTGTTATGAAATTTTGGCGGAACCCCATTTGTGAAACGCTGGCTTAGGGCTACCTCCACTGGCCACTTCTCTGGACACTAGAGGTGCTTCCTGGGGCAGTGCTGCACAGTATGACTGACATTCAGTGTCTCCACCCTCTGAACTTTCCTTATAGAGATGCATTAAATCAGTACATGCCTGTGGCTCAGCCAAGCCAATGCTTTCTTATGTAAAAAGCATTGTGATTGGCTCAGTACACCACTTCTGATGATGTCAGCTAAGCATACAGATCAGGGGCAGAGCCAGCAGGAGCAGACTTTATTAAAGGTAAGATTTTGCTATACATAGGGGGTAAGGGGGGCTAGATGGTGGTTTGTGTTTCTGACCCTATAATGTTCCTTTAATGACACAAGAATGTAAAAGGCACCAACAATGCAGTGCAATTTTTATGGCTTAGAAAGAGTATTGTGTTTAAGTAAAGGTTGTGTAAAAAAATACATTTATACTGTCTGTACAAACATTTAAAAGAAAATCATCAGGCATGTAGGGTGTACCAAAGACCTGCAGTAAGTATTGGCAAAAATGAAATCAGCTAAACTTCTTCATGTCACAGGTTTTCAGCTCCTCACTTTGCAAGTAAAGGTATAAAATTACATATAAAAATACAGAGAGACACACACACACACGCAGACACAGACTGACAGATATAGAGACACACAGATAAACACATATGCAGACCAATATATACACTTTTGTAGCCACCCTCCAGTTTCCTACCCTTTGGGTGCTGGGGGGTGGCTTCCCTTGTGTCCAGTCTGCAGGCTGAGGATGTTGGCTATTGCAGCCTGCACCACATCCTCTTCTGCTTTCTCTCCCGGCTCCTGTCTCTCACTGCCTGGCCCCCTCCTCACAGCTCCCCGCCCCCCCACCCCTCTCATGCAACTTCGCTCTCTGGAAGGAAGTGACTCACGGCTCCTCCCAAGCTGCCGATAAGCAAGGGGACACCCGATGGACCACCTAACTGTGTGGGCCCGGTGCGACGTGGAGTCACCACCAGTGGTAGTTCTTCGCAGGCCCTCTGAAAGTTTTTGACGGGCTTCAAGTTGTGCAGGTCTGGTGTAGCTATTACCCTATCAAACTTAAAGGTTCACTGTACCAGCTCAAAAATACTCTGATTGCAATCAATATTAACCTGTTCATTTAAATCCACCCTTGTCAATCAAACTGCACTAGCTGAAGGCTCCTGCGCTGTCCAGGATAAAATCTCAGGATAAACTAGTACACAATTTGCACCACAAAACGAGTACCACTGACTTATTGATCACCCTATGAACTCAATAATCAGCTATATGTTCATGCTAAACAAGCATCGGGGACTGCAGCTGTCCCGGATTATCGCAAAGTCCTACCTGTAGACATTTTAACCATTCGTTGTATCTATTCACCCATTGGGCTAATCTGCCTAACCCCAGAATAAACATGGAAAAGTGAGCTTATTCTCTTCAATCAATGTCCTGTCCAGTAGGCAGGGTTTTATATACACTCACACTCAACCCCCCTCTCTGCCAAACTGGTAGCATAGGTATAAATTGCATTCCAACATCTGTCTGCAGAGTGTTGGCAACAGATGCAAACTACTTTCTATGCAGACTGTGAATCCAGATCTCCCGCATAGCTTTGTGAGAAGACCGTGCGTGCATAAGGAATTGCTGGCTATAAGTCTTAATATGCTCATATTCAAATATTTTTATATGTATTTATTATCAGTATATTATATGTACAGACTCGTTGGTGAGACTTTGGCCTGAATTATGTTGAGTATGCGCAGCGATGCTGCTATTCGAAATGCTCACCTAAACCATAATACAAAATAGGTTATTACTTAAAACCATAATCGCCGTATTTAATCCATCATTTAAAAGCGGTGCGTTCATTGTTTGCGTGCCTACAGCTCATTCACTGGCCAGCATCTGAGACACGTGGAGTTTCTGACTGGTTCTCGAAGGCGGACAGGATCAATAGATCGTGAACACAATCTGCTAAATTATTTGGCCCTCAGGCAATGAGCACTTTTCATCTTACATTTTTTTTCCAGTTGGTGAAAGGACCAGTGAATGCAGTTGAAAGATTTACTAATTAAGATCAGGGCCGTCTTTAATATTGATTGGACCCTGGGCAAGCATCTGTTTGGGCCCCCTGGGCATGCAATCACTCCCTCCACCCCAACCTAGAGGCGAAACTAATGTAGAGAGTGCCTTGGTGCAACAAAAAAAAAATCAGGCCTGCCCTGTAGCACAAGAGTAAAGAAAAGAAAGATCCCCATCTGTCATACAACTCCTGCGATGCTATGCCAGCTGGGGATCTACCATCCTTGCAGGGTTGTATTTTTGAGCAGGGCTTGTGCAAATGAATGTCAGCATGTTATTGTATAGAGTGTATGTGTGCATGTAGGAGTGTATTTGTATGTACTGTTACCATTGGAATGCAGTGGTGTACTTGTGTGTAGTGTTTGCATTTTAATGCAGGGATGTGTGATTGTTTGTAGTGTTGGCTTTTAAATGCAGGTGTACTTTTGTGTGTAGAGTTGGTGTTTGTATATAATTTTTGCGTTTTAATACAGGAATGTGTTTGCATGTAATGTTTGTATTTGCATGCAGGGGGGTGTTTGGATGTAGTGTTGTCTTTTAAATACATGTGTACATTTGTGTGTAGTATTAGTGTTTCAGCAAACTGGTGTGTTTGTAATGTTTGTGTTTGCAGGGGTCTGTTTGCATGTTGTGTGATTTCTATAACACATATACACATACACATTAACACGCAGATACACACATGCTCACACTGACACATGCTCACATCTTGACACATACTGGCACATAAACATACACACACACTCAGATACACACCCTTTGACACACAGATACAAGCACTTTGATATACACACACTGACACACACACACTGACACAGGTATATACACACACACTCAGATACACACATACATAAAGGTATAAATGCAGGGGTAAATATGTGTACAGTGCTAGAGATGGAATGTAGGAGTGTATTTGTGTTGGCATTAAAATGCTGGGATGTATGCATTACCGCACACTTACACACACACCAAAACACACAAACAGGTGCACATACAGGTGTATGAGGTATGCATACACACAGAAACACTGACACACAGACAAACACAGCCAGATACACACAAGGACATAAACACAGCCAGATACACACATATATATGTGTACATTTACATATTTTAATCTCTGCCTTCTAGCAGCTCTAGGACAGCAACTCCCAGCAACCTTGGCCAATATAATGTTTCAACTCTGTTCTTACATACCCTGGTCCAGAATTTGGCAAAAGTGACATTTGGAAATGGTATACAGCCTTTGATAACACTTGATGCAATAATATGTTAAAATAAATACTTTTTAAATTTATATTTAATAGGGAACTGTCAGGTTCTTCTAGGATTTTTAACATGTACTTATTCCCCGTGTGTTACATTACAAACACCAACACACTTAAATAAAAGTGATATCAGAAATTAGCAAAACAAAAAACAAAACATATTTAGCCACCCTCCTGTCTCCTTACCTTTTGGGTACAGAAAGGTGGCTTCCCTGGGGTCCAGTGGGAGCTTGCTGGCCCAGGCTGATGGGAGTCTGCCATTAGCTTTCTCAGTCCTTCTCCCCCACAATGCTTGCATCCTCCTCCATGTGGTGTGTGCCTCCTCCCCAGCGGCACTGAGGAGGAACTGATCAGTTCTTACTGGGAGGAAGCAGTCTGACCTCACTGCCTCCCAGCATGCCCAGGAAACAAAGAGACTCACAGGGCAGTATGTGAGGGGGCTAGCTGTGAGTATGTAGTCAGCCACCCCCCATATAACAGGGGCCTGGGCCGGTCCAGAGCAGTATTAAAGGGCTGTGGCCCCTGATTACCTCAGGTGCCGCAGGGGGCCCATGGGGCAGCTGCCTTAGGGCCCCCAGGAGTAACTTGGCCCGGGGCAGCTGCCCCTTTTGCCCCTCCTTAAAGACGGCCCTGATTAAGATGATGCAATACTTCTGCATCACCATCTTCCGAAATATCTATCTAACCATGATTCACTGCATGCACAAGCAAGGGATACTGTGGGTTTTATGTTGCTTACAGTGGTGTTAAAAGGCAGACCTTTTATTAAAGGCATCAAACGCATTTAAAATATACAACATTTTGGACACTATAGTCACCATAACAACATTAGCTTAAGAGGCAGTTTTGGTTTATAGATTATGCCCCTGCAGTCTCACTGCTCAATTCTCTGCCATTTAGGAGTTAAATCAGTTTTATTTCTGTTTATGCAGAGGTGCATGAAAAAATGGTTTCATTTTCAGTCAGATCTTAACTTGCTATAGAAGCTTTTTTTTTTTTTTTCATGCTCTGTACAGTGAACTTTAATCACATACAGGAGGCTCCTTCGTGCTCCAGCAGGCTATGAACAGATAAGAAATTTTAAATTAAACAGAGTGTGCAATAAAGTTTAAACATTAGATCTCTCTTTAAGGAAGTGTTTAGGCTGTGTAAGTCACATGCAGTGAGGAGTGACAAGGGCTGTATAAACAAAGTGATTTAACTCCTAAGTGGCAGAGAATTAAGCAGTGAGACTGCAGGGGCATGATCTAAACGCCAAAACTGCTTCATTAAACTAAAGTTGTTTTGGTGACTATAGGGTCTCTTTTAATCACATTTCTCTTCGGGCGCAACGGTAAAGCAGAAGTGTAACTTGCACGTTATCGGTGTCCGTTCCAGTCGACCTTGGATATATTAGAAGGGTGGAAGTGTTACTTTTGTATTGCAGCCACAAACTAACACCATCTTAACTGGTTTATAACTTCTTGCCCATGTTAAATGCATTTTCAAACCTGCTCCTCTCGCCCCTTAGAAGTCTAAGGACCACCTGCAGCACCATACTCTGCTCTCAGTCCTTAGTATCCGCAAACATGTGACAGCTCCGAATGTTTGTCTGTGCTATAAATTTGTAACCTTGTAAAGATTTGTATTCTTTTAGTGTTCCAGGACAAACTGGGAAAACTAGATGAATCTCAATGTATCTGTCCTGATAATATTATTTTCCTGTCCTCGTTTACTGTTGGTGACCTCAGTCCATCTTCCCATTATACTGGAGTACTAAGCCCTTATTACAGGGCTCCCGGTGTGTCCTGTGGGTTTGTCTGCACTGGCCCACTTAAGACCCCATTAAGGCGGACGACTGAGCTATAGAGGCGGTGGAGAGGGAGCTGCAATATCTGAGCTCTTCTTCCTCTGCTCCCTGGCCTTTCGGGGACACCGGGATATGACATCACTCCAGCACAGCATCACTAAACGGCGAATTAGGAAGCAGGTAGACTGGACCCTAGGGAAATTATCCACTCCAGTTCTCTCAAAGGTAGAGAGACTGGTGGACGTAAATTGAAATGAATAAATAATAACGTGAGTATGTGAGAGAATGTCTGTCTGTTTAGGTGACTGCCCCACCTCCCCTCTCCCTCCGTTTGCATGGTCCTGCCCCCATGACTGAGGTCTGAGGTAATCAATCTTGATGATCTTGGCCAATTCTACGCTTTCCCATTGGAATACACAGAGAGGCTATTCCACATGCACTGCAAAACGTGGTAATAGGGAAGTTCAGCGCCTCCATGCAGAGCGCGAAGACGCTGAACGTAGGTGCTGCACGCTGTCTAGTCCTTCATTAGGAAGCAGCTCTAGTGGCCGTCTGAGTGACTGTCACTAGAAGTGTTACTAGACCGCAATGGAATCACTGCTTTTTCTCTGAAAAGGCAGTGTTTACATTGAAAGTGTGCAGGGACAAGCTATAGACACCAACACCACTACATTAGGCTGTAGTGGTTCTGGTCACTTTAAGAATTGTATTGTTCTTGTTGAAAATAAAACTTTGTTAGTTTGAAAAAAAAAAATAAACTTGGCTCCTAACTTTAAAAAAAAAAAAAAGCAAATTTGTCAATCTCTGCCTTATAAGAAAGTTGGCTCCCAGACCTAGCTGTGCCCTTTTATATGGGAGGATCCCAGAGGGCGGCACGGCCTATTTTGGATTTACTCAGTGACCTCATCTCTTTGTGCAGTCTGGGTGCGGTGTGTGTCTGTGTGCTCTCTTGCTAAGGGCTATTTTTGTTCATAGAAAATGAATATTAAGCTTTTAATGTAACAGCTACTCTAAATCTGTATCCTGAAGCCATAATACCCTCTGCAAACTTACTTCACCCATAGGCGTTGTTTTAATGCGACACTGTGTTATTTCTGCTTTAACTTTGCAGGGAATTTATATAATTTGAGTGGAAAAGTGTGGTTTTTGCATTTTTGGAAATGTTGATGAATTTCTCAGTGATTCTTCTATGCCCTGACGTGCCTGTCTATTAGAAAACAAAATGTCAGGAATCATTTCTACTACCAGTCTGTTACATTCTGTGCACCCACTGCACTGTAGCGGAAATGAAATGGCAAAGAAGGGCACTTATGAATATTTGTGTAGGCCCCAGGCCCCCATCACTACTGGAAGTAGCGTTTTTAACAGCCAGGAAAGGAATATCTGTAAACGGATTTATCCAGGCTGTCTCCCTGGCACAGAATGAGAGCCCATGAATGTATGTGCATGCGCGGGCCTGCACTCTGTTCTACAAAATGAATAATGGTCCAACACGCTTTCAATGAACTCTCCGTTTTAACACATCAAGATGATGGAAGACAAGGTTTCGGCCGAATACCTGGCCTTTGTAAAGTTCTGTGTTGTGCAGAAGTCATTTTATGTATCTACTAGAATACGGTTATGGGGTTCTTGCAATGAGGTATTTAAATGGAGTGTTTACCTCTTGTATGTATGTATCACTCGCTATTCTGGGCATGCCAGAGACCTGTCTGGGATGAGCGATCTGGGCCGCCAGGGTACATATCTTGTAGCCCTGCCACTAAACCGCGAGAAAAAGATTCTCTCGCAGGATGTGCAGAGCTGTCAGTCACCCAGGGACCTGGGTTTAGCAGTTACTTCACACCTTGCAACCGCTCCACTTACAGCCATTACATTATTACAGATACTATTATTGACACTCCACTGTCCATTTAAAAAAAAAAAAAAAAAATTAACCCTAAAAGTTCACCTTATTTTTTAGCTATCTTGCTACTTATTTCCTACAGGTTTATTAGCTGAATGTTTGATCAGTTGTCATAAGTGATATGCACAACTTCACTTTCCTGCCATAGTATATCTATTTTAATAATACAAGCCTTCTTACTGGCTGCCATTGGCCTAGATGTCAAGGCTTTAATTAAAGGGACACTATGGTCACCAGAACAACTACAGCTTATTGTATTTGTTCTGGTGAGCATAATCAAGTCCTGCAGGCCTTACACAGTAAACACTGTCTTTTCAGAGAAAAGGCAGTGTTTACATTACAGCCTAGGGATACTTCCACTGGCCACTCATCAGATGGCTACTAGAGGTGCTTCCTGGGACAGTGCTGCACAGTGTGACTGACATTCAGTCACCTTCTGCATGCAGACACTGAACAACTTTCCTCCTAGAAATGCATTGAATTAATGCATCCCTATGAGGAGATGCTGATTGGCCAGGGCTGTGTTTGGCTTGTGCTGGCTGATGATAATGTTTGTGCTGGCTGATGTAACAGATTTTAGGTATTTATTTAAATGTTGAATGCAGCCAGTTTACATCACAAATAAGGTTACAAAAATGTACCCGGCTAATCAGGGAAATCAGGTTAGTGTTGCCATATTGCCATGTAAACAGGGCTTGTTACTGGGTAAAACACAGCCTGAAGTCTGTATATCGGTTTGGTAAACAATTGTCCCTTATTGATGTAGAGATCCTGCAACAGTGAGATAACCCTGTCACGGACAATGAAGACTAAAAGTGTTTAAAAAAACAAAACTTGTTATCTTAACAATTAGCATAATATATAAACAATTGGTTTTATTTTATTTTTATTTTCACATAACCTACTTTTAAAGGGGTACTACAGACCTAAAATTAAGCAGTAAGCGCCATGTTATTTCGTGATTTTCTTTCAGCCTATAGGCCACCATTGACGGTGAGCATTATAGATATATTTTTTTCCTGGTGCCTGTATTTTTGTTTTGGGTTTTTTTTTGGCGGGGAAGGGTCATTGTTGTTTTTGTGTTTTGTGTGTTGAATACAAATACATTTTGCACCTTAGCAATACCCCATTATAAGTGTTGCAAAAATCTTTATTTCAAATGTACATCTGTCCAAATCCCAGAAACAGGCATTCCATTCATGCATGAATACTATTTTCTGATGTCTGTTAGAACTCCATTAACCAGTTTTGAGTTCTGTGACTGCCGTCTGTCATCTCTCGGATACTGTGCTAAGCAACAAAATTACTAGGTATCTGTCCAAGCCGCCACCAGCATGACAGCCCTTCATTATTTTTAAGTGATGGTAATTCCCCTTTAAAAACATTTTAAAATGGAACGGGCTCAATAGCTTTTACACAAAATAGATTTGTCACAGGGGTGCGGGCTCATGGTTCGGACAACAATTCTAACGCGTTAAATATGGAATTTTGATCTACATCAAACCTCCCATAATAAAATTCTTCTAAATCTTGTTTGTTGTTTTGCCTTTTTATTTCTTTCTACTGTGCCCTGTATACCTCCTGATGGTAAAGTTCATTTATTGTTTCTATGATACATTGTCCTCCTTGCATTACTTGGACCCAGAATGCTCTCAGAGAATGCTCCTAATCTGAGCTTCTGATTGGCTGTTGACCTTGTATCTTTTAGTAACTGAGTGTTTGTAATACACCCACACCCTTCTCTTCCACTCACATTCCTTTTCTGGATACCTAGCCACTCGCCCTCTCCTTGCTGTTTCTACTTTGGCCCAATAATTAAATGTTGCCATTCTCCTTGCCGTTTTGTTCTCATGCCCTGCGCATGCTGGGTTTTTAATCCTAGCGTCCTGTCTGCAGGCTCATTAGTAACCTTCACACACACTTGCTGCTGCCATTGAAGCGTGGAGCCGTGGGTGTGTCTGCAGGATGTGTGGGGAATGTGTAGGAGACTGTGTGCCAAGTATGTGAGATCTGGCAGGGCTATGCTTCCTGCTCCATGCTTACTGCCCAACTGTTACCTTCACTAAATACTGTGCTGGGGAAATCTCACATCAGGACGAACCCTGCACTCCCTAATCTTCACTTTTACACACCATCACCACCATAACCACATACCCTCCACCTCTCATTTACTAAAACTCACGTCGGCTTACCACCATAACCACATACCCTCCACCTCTCATTTACTAAAACTCACGTTGGCTTACCACCATAACCACATACCCTCCACCTATCATTTACTACCACCATAACCACATACCCTCCACCTCTCATTTACTAAAACTCACGTTGGCTTACCACCATAACCACATACCCTCCACCTCTCATTTACTAAAACTCACGTTGGCTTACCACCATCACCACATACCCTCCACTCGCCCAATTCTGCACTCACTAATTCTCACTCACCCAGGCATCATTTAGTCGCATTCACACTTCCACTCAGCTTAATGTTACCTAATCCTCACACTCGCCAAATCCCCCTCTCCTATCGGTTATTTGATTATCTGTCCATCTCTATGTATTTTTCCTCTGTATTGATCTTCCTTACATGATTTCCACGTCCCTTGGTGTCACTTTATTTTTGGTTTTGTTTGAATTAAAACAGATAAGTTGAAGTAAGGGCACTAAAGGTATATAATCCACTGCCTGGAGAGGCTGCACTGCCTCGTTTAACTTATGGACACCATCAAAGAAGGATAAAAGCCACTATGTTCAAGAGTAATAATTTGATCCAACGAGATGTCTGATTTCTGAAAAATGCTCCTCTGCTGTGTTTTATAGACCGTGTCCCATCATCCCTCCATGTCATTTCTTCACACACAATGCATACATTTACATACTTGTTTCTGTCCAGAGTTTCTTAACAAAGCCCGCTTGTATTCAGAACTTGGTAGCCATCCAAACCCCTTTCTTAGCCCATCTGTGGCCATATTTTCCGCATCCTTACCAGCTTTGCAATATTAGTGTTTTCATTTTGGTCTGTGTATGTCATGTCAGTAAATGTTGGTTAAAATCTACTTTATAAAACATTGTCTCCACTGCTGTGTTAACCTGGACAGAAAGCGTTGGGCTGTTTGTTAATCAGCCGTTTGGGAATTCTGATCTCTTTGGAATTATGACGTTTCTGTGGTTCTGGTGTAGTCTCTCCCCTCCCTTTCTTCCTTCACCCTGTCTGTGTTTTTGGCTGTCTCATCTCCTTCCCTCTCTCTCTCCCTCCCTCGTTCAGTGAGTCACTTTCACTCTGTCTAACTTGTTCCACTCTTTTTCACAACATGTTCATTGTTAATGTGTAACTTAAATGCTACGATTTTGTTTCTCCAAATATATTTATTTATCTAGTCTCATGTTAAATTGCAGCTTTTCTTCTGTTTTGTGTTAAGTCATTAGTGTCTAACCTTTGGCACACTGTGCCTGACATGCCAAACATTAGCCCTCATTGTTGCTCAAAGCATGGCTCCTGACCGTTTGCGGAAATTCGAATACAACCATTTTAATATATTGTTTCTCTTTTCACTAGGCTGGTAGTGATGGTCAAAGCATTGGGAACTGCCCTTTCTCCCAGAGGCTGTTCATGGTTCTCTGGTTAAAAGGAGTTACGTTTAACGTCACCACGATTGATATGAAGAGGTGAGAGAAGAAAACGTTAACATGTATGTGATATGTCCTTCTCTTTAATCACTCGGTCTCTGTGACTCTGTCCTCTCGTGGTTTTCCTCCTATCTCTCCCAACGCTCATTCAGTGTCTCCTTTTCTAATGGTACCTCCTCCCCTCGTCCTGTCTCTGTTGGAGTCCCCCGAGGCTCTGTCCTTGGTCCCCTTCTATTTTCTCTTTATACTGCCTCTCTTGGCAAACTTATTGCCTCTTTTGGATTCCACTACCACCTGTACGCTGATGACACCCAGATATCTCTCTCCTCCCCGGACCTCTCCCCTGCCGTCCTGCAACGTGTTACTGCTTGCCTTTCTTCTATCTCCGACTGGAGTCCTCCCGCTTTCTGAAACTCAATCTCTCTAAAACTGAACTCCTTGTCTTTCCTCCTCCTAATACTGATCCTCCTCTCTCGCTCTCCCTTTAAGTTAGTGGTACCCACATAAGTCCATCCTTGCAAGTACGCTGTCTTGGCATCATACTTGATTCTGGTCTCACTTTTGAGCTTCACATCCAGTATGTTGCCAAATCCTGTAGATTCCATCTTAAATACTTGGCCTGCACCGGCCCCTTTCTTAAGCAAGATGCTACCAAGGAGCTTGTCCATGCTCTAGTAATTTCCCCCATGGATTATTGTAACCCTCTCCTAATTGGTCGTCCCAAAAGCCGTATTGCCCCGCTACAGTCTGTAATAAATGCTACCGCCAGACTGATTTCCCTCTCTAGTCGGTTCTCACACCTCCCCCGCCCCCCCATCAGTCCTTACATTGGCTCCCTGTATCCAATAGGCGTCAATCCAAAGAGCTAACCCATACCTATAAAGCACTGAATAATCTTAGCCCCTCTTATATCTCCTCACAGATCCACAGGTATGCCCCTTCTCTGTCTCTCCACTCTGCCCCTGACCACCTCCTGTCCTCTCCTCCCACCCGTACGGCCAACTCACGCTTGCAGGACTTCTCGTGGGCGGTTCCCTTCCTATGGAATAGCCTGCCTACCGCCTTTAGATTCTCCCCTAGTCCAATCAGGAGCCTTGCGTTCTGGTGTATGGGGACTGATCATAGTAGAGAATTGAGGGTTAAGTAGTTTATCACTGGCACATACGATGACTGAGATTGCTTTATTAACTGATGGCAGACATTCTGCGGCTCTGTTGCTTGTGTTGCATGCTGCATGTACTATACGCACAATTTGATATAGGGCAACCTGCAGCTATTTCCGAGCCCAGATGCGCTGTGATAGATCGGCATTGATTTTTACCAACTGCGGCCATTACTCTCTGAAACGATAGTGAGCTTGGGGTGCTCTAATACAACATGCTGCTTAGACTGACCCTTGAAACTCCCCCTTAGCTACTCTTCCCCTTTCCTTTCTGTTTGCACTTTCTGTCAGGGCAGACCTGCCAAGATTATATAGTGATAGGGCATGGCAAGGAAAGCGAGAGAGGGTGTGTAAAGATTAGCCCTGTTTGCCAAGTTTGCCAAAGAGATATGTAAGGAGCGAGGTGCGGTCTGGAGATCTGTACGTTCTCATACAGCGGGGTAAACACACATTGTCAGGCATACAATGTCTCAAACAGTGTGTCTATTCTTGGCCTGCTTGTATTTAAAGCATCGAAACTGGCTAAAACACTAGAGGAGGCGAGACAACTTGGCCGGGGAAATGTGAGGTGTTGTTACCAGACCATGTTTATTATTTAGAACAGACGGGCAGAAACCAGTTGTAAAGTTTCAGACTTGATGCAGGAGCTGGGAAGGGAAGGCAACGTGGTACTGGCACGATGGGTGTGGTGGGAGGTGCATTACAGCCGCAGGGAGACCTATTACTCACCGTTACTGGATTGGATAACTAAAAGTTTAAACACAAGCCTAAGAGCCAACAACCTAACACACATCTGCTTTAAGGACCTGAGCTTCTACTTCAAAAAGGAGTGCCTTGTGCAAGAATCAGTCACTGCGTGTGATGTTCTAATGTTAACAACATTTATAGTGGTTAAAAAAAATAGCTTTAATAGTTCCTAATAAATATCTGAAAAAGCAGCATGTGTTGTAATTATTTCTGGGATTGTAAGAAAAAATGCTGGCGCAATATAAATCATTTTTATTGGACGTGGCAGAGAGGCTTCCACTAAGAGATCTGTTTAAAAATAATAAAATTGAAAGGATATTTGAAGGCGTGGTACATTTTGAACACCTCTTGTATGCCAGTAAAATAAGATTTGAGGCTGTTTTATAATTCACTGCCAAGGTTATTCATAAAAGCAGGAATTGTCGGGAATTGTACCATTTTGGCCAAACTAACGAGCTTGGAAAAACCTCTCCCGGTCGGCGGTACTTCCTGCTGATTGACCGTGGCTTCAGCCATTTACAATAAAAACTTTTTTTAATGCAGTTTGTTAAAACCGTTATGTACGAAGCAAGTTTGGCAGTAAGTAGCAAGTCCTGTTGCTGTCATAGAGAGTTCTTTCCAAATGTACCCATTCTAAATTGGGAAACAAAACATCTTCACATTTGATTTATTCTTTATTAAGTATCGCTCTTTCAGATCCCACCCATACCTTCTCTGACTATTTTCTTAAAGGCTTACTCCAAGCCTGATGGCTGTTACAGTCATTTGAAGTTGTTATGGTGCTTGGAGTCTTTATGTGCTGCGTTTCACTATGAAACATTCTACATACGGAGTTTAACCCATTTGATGCTGGATGTGTAACTTTACCTCCGGCAGTATCATTTGGGTGTAATTAGCCAGCTCAAGATATTCGGGCTGGCTAATGTCAGTTCCGTGATGACGCCCAACGTCAATTGGATGGCTGCCCATCCTACCCCTCATCCTGTCCCCCCCCTGCTTTATTATTATTATTATTATTATTTTTTAATTTTTTTATATTTTGGGCGTCGGGATAGGAAGGGTTACTCTAACTGAAAACAATGTTTTCTTAAAACCATTTTTTTTTTTTGTTGGAGTAACCCTTTAATTTTAAAGTGAATCAATGTTAGTGTTTTTGTTGACCGGTTTTTGCCTACTATTGTGTGTCTATTTTCACTCACGTGAAATCTAATGAGGTAGAAAGAATTAAATATGATCGAAACTTGCAAACTATGTGCTCTGCGATTGTCTCCCTTTTCACGTTAAAACTGCCTCAACTCAGAAGTGTTTTTAAGATTTGTCGTGGGCCGGTCTTGAATCTCTGCCATACGTTCCCCCCTGTATTAAATTCTGTGCTGGGGGGGCACGGATATTCCCATAAATGAGAATTGTCAGGATTTCTAATTTTAGTGGAAAATGGCCAAAATTGAAAGATTCTCCACGTCCCCTGTGTTTCCAATTCTACTACTTTGGCCTTAAATGTAAATTTCACTTTGAAATCCTGACCATTCTCAGGCAATGTCTGGCAATCGATAAGGTGGGTCACGTAACCATATTTGACCTCTGCAGTGTGTGTGTGTGGGGCGGCCAATGTCAGGATAGTTTATAGGTAAGGTTATTATCATTCTGGAAATAAAAATGTCTTTCCTGAATACCAGGGTTTATTCTTTTCCTGTGCCCTACACAGTATCACCCCGCCATACTGTAACAAGCTTCTCTCATTGTTGAAATAATCAGGTGAAAACTCTGTGACTTCAAAGTTGATTTTAAATTTCCTTTCCGGCAGTTTTTTCCTTAAAGGGACTCTGTAGTCACTATAAGCATTTCATCTCTTTGAATTGGTTATAGTGCCTGGAGTGCCCTGGCATTGTCCCTCCATTCAGTGTTGAACCATATTCGTGCAGTATTCCACAAAATAAGAGTCCCTGGCCACCCACAGTCCGGCCCCTTCTGTATGTGTAGCTAAGGCAGAGATTACACACTTCCTTGTTGTCATACCCATTCATACCATCAGTTGGAACTCTGACAGGCTAAAAGCAGTCAGCTGACACTCTCAGCCAATCACAGCTGCCTATTGCTGCTCAGGCTAATACTTCCTTATTAGCCAAAGCAGCACAGAGGGGATGGATTGCCGGGGACTCTTGTTTAGCATTAAAACATTACAACTTTAAAAACTGTTTAATGCTGAAAGAAATGATGGGACCAGAGGACTCCAGACACTATAACCAGTGTCCCTTTAAATTTTTAATTTCACATTGAATTCTTAGTTTAGTGACTAACCCTGAATGTCTCCCCATAATCCTTGCAGTGAGCATCATGTTCTGAAGTTAGGACTGCACGGACTTGGGTCTTGTTCCTGTTGTTTTGGTCTCATCTGACCGCATTTTCCACAAAGCTAAGGCGACATCGAGAGACTTAGAGTCTAAGCTATTTATAATTTTCTTGAGCAAAAAAAAACCACTCACTTCTCCTTGTTTCTGTTCATTCAGAAAGCCAGATATTCTTAAACATCTTGCCCCGGGTGCTCAGCCCCCATTCATGGTATACGGGACTGACGTCCGAACAGACACCAACAAGATAGAGGAGTTCCTGGAGGAGACCCTGAGCCCACCAAAGTAAGTAGATTGGCATCTTCCCCATCTTTGCCAGTGCTTCATGAGGAGTGACCATATACAACTATATTATATAACAGAAAATATATAAAAATAAAATATACTACTATTACAGCGCAAAATCTCCAAAGCTTAGTGACACCCTATAATATAAACAAACTAAAAATAATGGCGTAGCTCTGTTGAAAATTTTAATATAATCTTCCTATGGAAACTCTGTGTTTGGAGATATAGATATATATTCTAGCCATGTAATAAAATAAAGCCAATTAACCCCTTAAGGACGAAACTTCTGGAATAAAAGGGAATCATGACATGTCACACATGGCATGTGTCCTTAAGGGGTTAAGATGCAATGATCTGGGCAGTTTAAACATAAAATCTGCCGAGGCCATTGCACCTTAAATGGCTTTATTTAAATACATTGCTCTTGATTTTATATATATACATTGGTGTGTACTTTCCATATCTAGATTGTATTTTCGACAGTGTTACTCTGTTTTTTAAAATTTCCTTATAAAATGAGGAATGGCTGATGGTAGACTTAGGCATTAATTTTTGGACAAACACGATTTCGTACAAATTTTGCCAGTTTGGCCATTTGTCTGAAAGACGAATGAACAAATAGAAATTACAACCAATGAAACGAAGACAGAATTGCTTACTGGAAATTTCATCCGGCTGGCTCGCAGCTCCATCGCTCCATCCTTGTAATATTTAAAAATAGAAGCAGCGAGTATTTGTGCTTTTTGCTGCTTCCTAAACCCTCCCCCATTGCTCCCCCATCACCATATGGAGGTCAAAATGACCCCCATATTAGTATAAGGGAGGTTAAATCCCGCTGCTGTAATTAGAGGCAGTGAGCATCCAGTGGGCTCTAGAAAAGACTAGCATAGCTGCCCAGTTGCCAATCCAATTCCCATGCCCCCATGGTCTGGCATCTATTTAAATAATTAACTGGGGGGAACATAGAGTCCCAATGTGCCCCCACCCATACCCCGCAAGTAAGTGCTATTAAACTAAACAGGTATCCGCCTCCTGCCCCCACCATTGGCAGCGAGTGGAGGACATAAATTATAATGGGGGGGGGGTACCTATTGTAGTTTTTATTACATTTTTCAAGTGGCAGGAGGATAATGGGTCCACCCCCACTTTATTATTTATGGCCTCCACCTGCCGCCAATGGGTGGGGTTTAGAGACAAATAATTTGAGCCCCCACCCATGGCTACTTGGTCCCCCCCATTTAGTTTAATAGCACCCACCCATGGTGGATGGGTACAGTTAATTATTTAAATAGATGCCCCATCATGTGGACATGGGGGACCTGTGCCAGGGCCCCCTTTGTTGGATCAGTTACTGGGCAGATTTTTGTTATGACCGTGAGCAGCCACTGGCTGCTCGCAGTTTGTAGATATGTCTCTATGTACTAAAATTGCAAACAAAAAAACCTTCCTTCTTGTAATTTTGGTCTCTCTCTGCTTCTTAGTAGATAGCTCCCTAATACTTGTGGGATTGCCATAAAGTACCAAAAAGGAGTTATCTACTAAACACCGCTCCCTTATTTGGTACCCATAAATATGGCAACCCCTGAAGGGCATCGATTTAGGGAGTTGTCTGCTAAATAGCTGGAAGATGCAGCTGGGGCACGGATTGTAATTTTATTAGTCCGAATGAAGTTCCAAAACGAAAATAATGGCTGAATTTCGTTCAAAAGCGAATGAACAATTGAACGAAATTCAGTTCAAACGAAACTAAACTTTCTTCAGCGCCCAAGTCTAGCAGATGGTACAGTACATGGGAAAACAGAGCCTCCGGCTGGTTAGACTGTGCAATTAAATCTGTCAGTATTGTGTAAAACAACATACTTGGGGATATTGCCAAACTCTCATTCTAAAGACATGCAAAGCATCATGGGAGTTGTAGTTTTGCAACATCTGGGGATCTACCTTTTGGACACCCCTGTTTTAGGCAAAGCAGGATAAACCATAAGGTGGACTTAGGCAGCCGCCCAGGGCCCTGGGGTTCGACATGGGCACTGAATATAATGTAATGCATTCGGCAGGGCCATTCACTAAGCTGTGCAAAATATGAATGAGCAATATGTGGCTAAATATTTGGTATCATTTTGGGTAGGACCGTGAGTAAGACTAAGTACATGCTTCTCTTTTTCTGTTAGCAATTCTGTTGCAGTTCTAGGCTCCAGTGTAGTGTGTGAATGAAATTCATGTTATTTGATAATGCTTCATCATATGATTCATACAGGTACCCTAAACTGGCAGCCAAGAATCCAGAGTCCAACACAGCTGGCCTGGACGTATTTGCTAAATTCTCTGCTTATATCAAGAATTCCACCCCAGCAGCGAACAAAAGTGAGTGCTTCCATATTATACTATGGCTTTCCTGGGACATGTTTGTTAAGGCCAAAAATTAACGTTCATCTGTCCCCTAGAAACAAAATGTTCTGCTAACCAATTTAACATGAAAACATATTAACATCATTAAAAACCCAGCAGTTTTATGTTATACCTGTCAATCGGTTAATACCAACTTGCAATGAGAGGAATGAGGGAATTTTTGGACACTCTGATTGGGAAACTAAAACCTTTTTCATACTTCTATGTGATCGTTTATAGTCCTTTCTTAGATGTGATTCTGCTTTGTAACCTGTTTGTATGAGATCAGTTAAACCTGTGTTACAGACAATACTGATGATTCACGATTGACCTAAATTGCTTTTAGGATTAGAAGCCCATAAGGAAAAATTCTAATAGAGCTGCACGGTATTTGCCAGTTTTAATATTTTATCCCTCTCCCATTGTCCTCTCATCCCCCAGCTCTGGAGAACGGGCTCATGAAAGCTTTGCGGGTTCTGGATAGTTACATGAACACCCCACTCCCTGAAGAAATCGATGAGAACTGCGCTGAAGACGAGACAGTCTCACATCGCCGATTTCTGGATGGGAACGAGCTGACCCTGGCTGACTGCAATCTCCTCCCTAAGCTGCACATTGTTCAGGTCAGTTGACAAGGAGAAGAAATGTGTTCTCAGTATTAGCTGAATATAGTCTTTATGTATCGGGAGTGCCTTGATATGTCTATAAAAGGGCTCTCTAAGCACCATCATCACTGCACATCTACATTATGAATTGTGATTCTGTCCATCCTGAATGGCATTGATGGACAGGGGGCAAATGAGCCCAGCTCTGTCAGGCTATCATTGCCATCCAGTTTGGACTCCTGTTACCATAATCACTGTAGTGAGCAGTTGTGCTGTTTGTCGTGACAAAAGCCAAATGTTTATAAATGTTATCTTTGGCAAATAAATATTGGTATTTCTTTTTTTTTTTTTTTTTTTTTAGGTGGTCTGTGAGAAGTACCGGGGCTTTAAAATTCCAGAAGAGTTTTCAGGAATCCACCGCTATCTCCGGAATGCTTACGAGCGCGAGGAATTTGCCAGCACCTGCCCAGCCACCAGCGAAATTGAACTTGCATACGCTCAAGTGGCCAAACCTCTCAAATAAACTGACTCACAGTCCCCAAGAGAGAGGGCTCCTTTCCCTGCCACCACTATATTTAAATCCCATGTAAAAATATCCACGCACCTCACCAATTGTTAAAATAAGTACAGTGCTCAGACATTCCTATTGATCTACCACTTTATGCTCTATGTTCCTCCCTTACACTTCCCTCACATTAATATAAATTGCACTAGGTAAAATGTAGAATCCCAGGATCTCTTAACATTCCACACAGGCACTGCCCTCCTTGGCTGGGGCTGGTGTCTGTCACCTGAGCACGTCAAACTTCATCACACCTCTAGAAGTCCTATTACTCACATATGGGTTAAATGGGGCCTTCCTGAAAATGACCATAGTTGAAATCTGATGAAAGAATCTGATTTGCAGCGTAGTCCAGCATAAAAATATTTTACTTTAGAGATAAATTATGTACCACACTCTGGTACTAAATAATTATTTTATAAACCTTTACTATTTCCGTGCTCGCATTTTCCCATGTGTCATTTTAATAATGTAACTTTATTTACTTTCACCACCAACTACATCCCATTTACGGCCTAGGTAGGCAGACATTTCTGTGTGTTTTATCACGACACGCACTTGTTAATAGTCACAAATTTGTGTTTTTGATGCCTAAATGATCCATACGATCCCCTTTTCTGATTACAGTTGCGGATAGAATTCTAGAACTAGGAGCTGGCCAATATCCTGTTCACACAACCACAAATCTATCCAGGGATTTGTATAATTGTCATTTCAAAACTTTGCTTTAATAAAACCGCAAACTGCTGTAGTTTCTTTGAACAATAATTTTGCAAATCAAATGAAGGATTTTGACCCCAACCTTTTTTTTTTTTTTTTAAAGCAATTAGCCTTTTCCTAATTTGGAATAACTGTAATTTAAACCAAGCCACAGCCATGGCCTCGCCATTGATGTAATGTGATCTCCATGACTGCTAAAGAGTCACACATGGACATGGCTAATAAAATGGAACCCTTTCCTTAAAATAAATAAAGTTAATAGAGCACAACGTTATCACTTCATGTCTTTCTCACTATTGGGCTGATAGTGGTGCATTGTTATTGCCACTCAAAGGGTCTGGGGTCTACATTTATAAAACACGTATTTCCCCTGAGTATAGAAGCTGTATATTTAATATGGGGAGGAAATTATGCCTAATATTTGCCTTTCTATTAAAAAAAAAAAATCTCTCAAAGAAATGTCTAGTTTTTACTCATTAGTCGAATATCCACACCAAGGTAAAGGACAAGGGGGTTCTTGGCTAAACTGTGAATTTTGCTTAACTGGCAACAGAATTGCAAAATGTCTGCTTTAGAATTGTCCAATTATGCAGAGGGACAGATGTCCAGGAGATCATCTTGGTTGGGTGGGAAGGGGCTCCACCTGAGGCTGTCCCCTGCACCCAATAGCCTCAGGACTGGCTGTTGGGGGCAGGGGACAGGGATCAGGACTGTGTTTTGGGTGCAGGGGATAGGGATCAGGAAGACTGGCTGTTGGGTGCATGTCACGGCTCCCCGCGATTCTGTTGGCGTGGGCGCACAGAAACATAGCGGCTACACCAACAGAAAAATCAAATACCTTGGTCGTGGGAAACCGCTGCCCGACCTCCCCCTATCCCAGTCCCCAGCGAGTTCGGCATTCCTACAGACTCCAGCCGCTGCGGTTCCGTTTTTAAAAGGAGACTTACCTCCACCCACATCAAAGAAGGCACCAACGTGCATGCAACGTCACTTAATAGACGCACACGCACGTTTTGGGGTCAGAGGTCAGAAACAGCCAATTGCAGCCTAAGGAGGGTTATTTAAACCCAAATTACCTTTTTTGACATTGCCCTGTCGTGGTTTCCATTAGCTGGTTATCCGAGAGTGTGTTCCTGATTGCGTTTTTCTGGTATTTGGCTTTGGCTTTGTTTTGACTTCCCTGATTTCTGGTATCTTTGACTTTTGGCTTTCCTCATCGCTGTGTCTCATTCTGTGTCCCTGACCTCAGCAAGTATTTTGACTATTCTCTGGTACGTTAAGTATGGTCATTCTAAGGTCCAGTTAGACATTATCCTGTGCTCGATCAACTATAATCCTAACAGTGCAGGGGACCGGGATCAGGCCGTCTGGCTGTTGGGTGCCGGGGACCGGGATCTGGAGGACTGGCTGTTGGGTGCCGGGGACCGGGATCTGGAGGACTGGCTGTTGGGTGCCGGGGACCGGGATCTGGAGAACTGGCTGTTGGGTGCCGGGGACAGGGATCAGGACTGTGTTTTGTGTGTAGTGAGTAGGGCTCAGCGTCTTGGTATGTCTTATGTGCAGAAGGCAGGGCTTCGGGACTCTACCAGGAGAGCAGGAGGTTATGCTTGAGAGTCCGTCCAAAGAGCAGGGACGCAGGAGAATTCCTGTGTGCGTGGTACGTAAGAAGTTCAAATATTGATTATTTACTGGCATTAAATGAGGCAATAAGGTATGTCAGTTCTTATTTGCTTATTGACCCACCACATATTTTATCTGTAAGCTCACACTGACGGCCTCTGTGAATCCGTACAGCTCTATCCGCTGCCTGGTAACATAACTCAGTAAGTGCACACAGTAAAGACGCTGTACATATTATATATTTTTATTGTTACGAGAGGATTGCGGGCACTCCAGCCTGGCCTCACTTTGCCAGTATTAGGAGAAACAGAGGCGGGATGAGTACCATAGCGAGCGTCGCTTTCCCAGCAGATGCTGAATTGCAGAGATCAGTGTCACAGCAGGCGTTGTGGAAGGTGACGTTAATGCCCAGTGTGTTCTTCTGGCCGCTGGTCCCGCAGAGACTGGCCACGGTGCAGCTCCGCTCCCGCAGCACAAACTGGAACTCGCCTGCAGAGAGAGAGACGGGAACCTGGTGGTCATAACCCGTAACCTTTATGGCATGGCATTATTCATTTAAATTTGCACAGTGTTTTTTTTTTTTTTGTCTCTTCCAACACTATTTTTTTTTTGGGGGGGGGGTCATGGTGTACACAGAGGTTCGTGGGTGCCCCCCATGCAGTGTGTAAATGGCAGTGAAGGAGCGTTTATGAGTGCGGGATTATCCCCATTGGTCACATCTTCCATTCACTCCGTCTCTAGCCAAGAAGATAATGATTTGGTTAGACTCTAAATCCAAATCCCACCATGCATATCCAGTGTTTGCGCTTGATGGGAGTAGTGTTTCACAGCAGTTAGTGTGCCATTCTAGTACATAGTAATGTCTACAGCAGCTGGAGTGACATTAACCATCAAACTGGAGCACTCTGCTGTGTGTGTATAAATGTGGGCATCATGAGCATTGTAGTCCTCCATCTGGGGTGAGAAATTTTAGCATTATAGCTTTAGTGGAATCTGCCTATAAAATCCAAATTAACTTTCTGAGCTGGTATATATATATATATATATATATATATACATACATGAAGATTCTAAATGGTTTTTTTTATGTGTATAGTGTGTTTTGCACGTGATGTGCAAATAGGGTTAAAAAATAAATCAATAAACCTTTTCAGGAAGCCATGCTGGAATAAGGAACTTGGGCTTATTATGTATAAAGTAAACGTGTTGCTATTTTTTATTTATTTATTTTGCAGAGTGATCTAAATCTGTCCTGCTAGCGTAACCAAATTAAAACATGTCATATTAAGATATATTTTTAGAATATTGTAAACCTGCGGCCCTCTGTGATATACTCGTAGTTAATGGTCTGTTTCCTGTATGCTGCGGAGCTCTGTGATATTCCTCTTCAATGCTCAATGAGCTGTATTGCTATGGAGCTCTGTGACATGCATATTCAATGCTTGGTGAGCTGTATGGCTGTGGAGCTCTGTGATACACTGATATCCAATGCTTGGTGAGCTGTATTGCTGTGGAGCTCTGTGACATGCATATTCAATGCTTGGTGAGCTGTATGGCTGTGGAGCTCTGTGATACACTGATATCCAATGCTTGGTGAGCTGTATTGCTGTGGAGCTCTGTGACATGCATATTCAATGCTTGGTGAGCTGTATGGCTGTGGGAGCTCTGTGATGCATTTGCACACCATAGATTATAGTGTTTTATTATTGGAGCTCTGTGATAATGAGTTCAAGGGCAACAAGGTATTTGGACTCTCTGATAAAACGATTATAGCAGCTATAGATTGGGAGTTTGTTTTAGCTCTATATAAGGGTTATTTACTTATCTGAGAATCATTTGAAGTGAATTTTACAACCAAACAGATTTTTATTTTTTTTTAATTAAGCTATTTTGGCCTAAATTTGTAAATTCACTTTAAATTCTCAGTAGTTGTCGCTTTTAGTGAATGACCGTCAATGACGTAGCTTCGCCCTCTCCATGGGGCCAACATACCTCTTCTTCCAGTTGCAGTGGAGATCAGACATCTCTCGCTGGGAGGGCAAGTGACTGGAAACTTAATGCATTCCATGGGGGAGATGGTGGGGAAGAGACAGGTGTAACATCTCAACGCTCTCCCTGTGCAGTGAGAAAAAGCACTTCAATCACCATGGCAGTCTCTAGAATAGTGACCAGAGTCTGTACTGGCCATAGCATGAGATAAAACCTTTCAAAGTAAACACACTGTGTTGTAAGATCTGATTGAAAATTTCATTATTTTCATGCAGGCTGTGTGAGTCACAGCCAAGGAAGATGTAGAATCGACCCAGCACTGTCACTCTACTCTATAAACAATTCTGCAATCACCTTACTCTAGAAATATATAGCTGACTCCTGACACAATGCTCGCCTCTTACTCTAGAATAATTGTATAGTCTTCACAGATACTACACCGCACCCTCATATTACTCTAGATTTAACCCTCTCTAGATATTACACCGTACCCTCATCTCACTCTAGATTTAATCTTCTCTAGATATTACACCGTACCCTCATCTCACTCTAGATTTAATCTTCTCTAGATATTACACCGCACCCTCATCTCACTCTAGATTTAATCTTCTCTAGATATTACACCATACCCTCGCCTCACTCTAGATTTAATCTTCTCTAGATATTACACCGTACCCTCATCTCACTCTAGATTTAATCTTCTCTAGATATTACACCGTACCCTCATCTCACTCTAGATTTAATCTTCTCTAGATATTACACCGTACCCTCATCTCACTCTAGATTTAATCTTCTCTAGATATTACACCGTACCCTCATCTCACTCTAGATTTAATCTTCTCTAGATATTACACCGCACCCTCATTTTACTCTAGATTTACATTTCTCTAGATATTACACCATACCCTCGCCTCACTCTAGATTTAATCTTCTCTAGATATTACACCGCACCCTCATCTTACTCTAGATTTACCTTTCTCTAGATATTACACCATACCCTCGCCTCACTCTAGATTTAATCTTCTCTAGATATTACACCGCACCCTCATCTTACTCTAGATTTACCTTTCTCTAGATATTACACCGTACCCTCGCCTCACTCTAGATTTACCTTTCTCTAGATATTACACCGCACCTTCATCTCGCTCTAGATTTACCCTTCTCCATATACTACACAGCATCCTCATCTTGCTCTAAATTTATCCTTCTCTAGATATTATACAGTACCCTCATCTCACCCTAGATTTACCATTCCCTAGATACTACCCCGCACCCTCGTCTCACTCTAGATTTTACCATTTCTAGATATTACACTGTACCCTTCTCACCCTAGATTTACCCTTCTCTAGATACTACACTGTACCCTCATCTCACTCTAGATTTACCTGTCTCTAGATTCTACACAGCACCCTCAACTTGCTCTAGATTTACCCTTCTCTAGATACTACACTGTACCCTCATCTCACTCTAGATTTACCATTCCCTAGATACTACCCCGCACCCTCATCTCACTCTAGATTTAAACTTCTCTAGATACTACACTGTACCCTCATCTCGCTCTAGATTTACATGGCTATCTGCCACTGTCTCTGTATGAGAAACAATGTTTAAAATGGCTGTCTGCCAGTGTTTCTGTATAAGAAACAATGCTGCATATAGCTATCTTTTACTATACGGCTATTTGCCAGTGTCTCTGTTTAAGGTGCCATGTTCTATGTATATTTATTTGTACATCGTTTCCACCGAGGGCTGTGTACTAACCGTGCCATCTGCTATCACTTTAACACAGATATTGATCTACCTTACCCACCCACTATTACATACACAGCTATCTCTCACCTCCTCCTAGTGTTACTTAAAGCTATCTCTCACCTCCTCCCAGTGATGCTTACAGCTATCTCTTACCTCCTCCTAGTGTTACATACAGCTATCTCTCACCTCCTCCTAGTGATACACACAGCTATCTCTCACCTCCTCCTAGTGTTACATACAGCTATCTCTCACCTCCTCCTAGTGTTACATACAGCTATCTCTCACCCCCTCCTAGTGATACATACAGCTATCACTCACCTCCTCCTAATGTTACATACAGCTATCTCTCACCCCCTCCTAGTGATACATACATCTATCTCTCACCTCCTCCTAGTGCTACATACAGCTATCTCTCACCTCCTCCTAGTGCTACATACAGCTATCTCTCACCTCCTCCTAGTGATACATACAGCTATCTCTCACCTCCTGCTAGTGATACATACAGCTATCTCTCACCTCCTCCTAGTGATACATGCAGCTATCACTCACCTCCTGCTACTGATACATACAGCTATCTCTCACCTCCTCCTAGTGTTACATACAGCTATCTCTCACCTCCTCCTAGTGATACACACAGCTATCTCTCACCTCCTCCTAGTGTTACATACAGCTATCTCTCACCTCCTCCTAGTGTTACATACAGCTATCTCTCACCTCCTCCTAGTGTTACATACAGCTATCTCTCACCTCTTGCTACTGATACATACAGCTATCTCTCACCTCCTCCTAGTGATACATACAGCTATCTCTCACCTCTTGCTACTGATACATACAGCTATCTCTCACCTCCTCCTAGTGATACATGCAGCTATCTCTTACCTCCTCCTAGTGATACATACAGCTATCTCTTACCTCCTCCTAGTGATACATACAGCTATCTCTCACCTCCTCCTAGTGATACATACAGCTATCTCTTACCTCCTTCTAGTGATACATGCAGCTATCTCTCACCTCCTCCCAGTGATACACACAGCTATCTCTCACCTCCTGCTAGTGATACACACAGCTATCTCTCACCTCCTCCTAGTGATACATACAGCTATCTCTCACCTCCTCCTAGTGATACATGCAGCTATCTCTCACCTCCTCCTAGTGATACATACAGCTATCTCTTACCTCCTTCTAGTGATACATACAGCTATCTCTCACCTCCTCCTAGTGATACATACAGCTATCTCTCACCTCCTCCTAGTGATACATGCAGCTATCTCTCACCTCCTCCTAGTGATACATACAGCTATCTCTCACCTCTTGCTACTGATACATACAGCTATCTCAAACCTCCTCCTACTGATACATGCAGCTATCTCTTACCTCCTCCTAGTGATACATACAGCTATCTCTTACCTCCTCCTAGTGATACATACAGCTATCTCTTACCTCCTTCTAGTGATACATACAGCTATCTCTTACCTCCTTCTAGTGATACATACAGCTATCTCTCACCTGCTTACAGCTATCTCCCACCTCCTCCCAGTGATACACACAGCTATCTCTCACCTCCTCCTAGTGATACATGCAGCTATCTCTCACCTCCTCCTAGTGATACATACAGCTATCTCTTACCTCCTTCTAGTGATACATACAGCTATCTCTCACCTGCTTACAGCTATCTCCCACCTCCTCCCAGTGATACACACAGCTATCTCTCACCTCCTGCTAGTGATACACACAGCTAACTCTCACCTCCTCCTAGTGATACATACAGCTATCTCTCACCTCCTCCTAGTGATACATGCAGCTATCTCTCACCTCCTCCTAGTGATACATACAGCTATCTCTCACCTCTTGCTACTGATACATACAGCTATCTCTCACCTCCTCCTAGTGATACACACAGCTATCTCTCACCCCCTGCTAGTGATACATACAGCTATCTCTTACCTCCTCCTAGTGCTACATACAGCTATCTCTCACCTGCTTACAGCTATCTCCCACCTCCTCCTAGTGCTACATACAGCTATCTCTCACCTGCTTACAGCTATCTCTCACCTCCTGCTAGTGATACATACAGCTCTCTCCCACCTCCTCCCAGTGATACATACAGCTATCTCTCACCTCCTTCTAGTGATACACACAGCTAACTCTCACCTCCTGCTAGTGATACATACAGCTATCTCTCACCTCCTCCTAGTGATCCATACAGCTATCTCTCACCTCCTCCTAGTGATACATACAGCTATCTCTCACCTCCTGCTAGTGATACATACAGCTATCTCTCACCTCCTCCTAGTGATCCATACAGCTATCTCTCACCTCCTCCTAGTGATACATACAGCTATCTCTCACCACCTCCTAGTGATACATGCAGCTATCTCTTACCTCCTCCTAGTGCTACATGCAGCTATCTCTCACCTGCTTACAGCTATCTCTCACATCCTTCTAGTGATACACACAGCTATCTCTCAGCTCCTTCTAGTGATACACACAGCTATCTCTCAGCTCCTTCTAGTGATACATACAGCTATCTCTCACCTCCTCCTAGTGATATACACCGCTATCTCTCGCAGCCTAGATGCACCATTTACCCCACAATAGCAGAAAGCGTTATCTCCCATTGACTCTGTATAAAATGCAGAGCTGTTTCTTGTGTTCTCGTTAAAGAACACAGCTTTAACCACAGCCAGTTTTTGGATTAAAATACTAATAATAAACAGTTATCTTCAATTTCCATTTTTACAATTCTCTATACAGCTATCTCTCACTGCCTTGCTTTACAATGATACTATCTTCACTTGCCTCATGTTACAATATATATACAGTTATCACCTCTTCTCTATAGGATACAACGCTACTGCCTATGGCATTGCTATAGCATACACATAACCTCTTTCACTGGTACTCAGAATAACACACACCTAAATGGGAATTATTGGTAATTCACCCAGAAACAAAACGTTCGACAAAAATAGCTTAACTGAAATCTTAGAAAAATTGGAGAATTTCGAGTTTGGCTAAATTGGCAAAGTGAAATATTAGAGCGTTTCGTTAACTAAACTCAAAATTGTTGGTTAAAATAATGACTTGAAAGATGTGACTATAGATTAGTATTTTTTTTTTTTTTTTTACAAAGTGCTACTTTTAACTTATAGTTTGCAATTCAGATCTTACTTTGGTGTCTTTGAATACATTCTGCCATCCATATACAGAATTCTAGAAACATTCTCCTTGCTCCCTATGATTTCAGTTTAACAATTTGGTTTTTTTTTCACTTAAATTTGGAATTCACTTTGAATTTGCAATGCTTCCCCAATAATTCCCCCTGTTTGTGTTCTCTGCCACAGACATACCGCAGGCACTTACCTTGGTCTATAAGCAATATGAAGGTTATGAGAATGCTTGTTACAGGATTCATGGCTGTGTAATGGCTCTCTCCCAACTTACTGACTCTTATATCTCTTCCTACTCTATATAATTATCACTTTCTTTCTTCCAATTATGGGTAATTGAATTTATTCCTTTCCCAAGAATAAACCGATTTTGGTCGCTGCCCACAGACCCCGGGCCCCCAGGGGAGAGGTGGAGAATTGATAATAAACTAATTGTACATTTTTCGATAAACTGGAGAGTTTGTCTTCTTAAATTCAACTATTTTATCTTAAAGTTCAATACAAATCCCACTTTAGGGACCAGGCCAATACTGGAATAGCAGTGAGAGGCATGCAGCTGAATCAAGGTGTAGTATTGGCTATACACAGTACTGGAATAGCAGTGAGAGGCATGCAGCTGAATCAAGGTGTAGTATTAGCTACATACAGTGCTGGAATAGCAGTGAGATGCATGCAGCTGAATCAAGGTGTAGTATTGGCTACATACAGTGCAGGAATAGCAGTGAGATGCATGCAGCTGAATCAAGGTGGAGTATTGGCTATATACAGTGCAGGAATAGCAGTGAGATGCATGCAGCTGAATCAAGGTGGAGTATTGGCTACATACAGTGCAGGAATAGCAGTGAGAGGCATGCAGCTGAATCAAGGTGGAGTATTGGCTACATACAGTGCAGGAATAGCAGTGAGAGGCATGCAGCTGAATCAAGGTGGAGTATTGGCTACATACAGTACTGGAATAGCAGTGAGAGGCATGCAGCTGAATCAAGGTGGAGTATTGGCTATATACAGTACTGGAATAGCAGTGAGATGCATGCAGCTGAATCAAGGTGGAGTATTGGCTACATACAGTGCAGGAATAGCAGTGAGAGGCATGCAGCTGAATCAAGGTGTAGTATTGGCTACATACAGTACTGGAATAGCAGTGAGATGCATGCAGCTGAATCAAGGTGTAGTATTGGCTACATACAGTACTGGAATAGCAGTGAGAGGCATGCAGCTGAATCAAGGTGTAGTATTGGCTATACACAGTACTGGAATAGCATTGAGAGGCATGCAGCTGAATCAAGGTGTAGTATTGGCTATACACAGTACTGGAATAGCAGTGAGAGGCATGCAGCTGAATCAAGGTGGAGTATTGGCTACATACAGTGCAGGAATAGCAGTGAGATGCATGCAGCTGAATCAAGGTGGAGTATTGGCTACATACAGTGCAGGAATAGCAGTGAGAGGCATGCAGCTGAATCAAGGTGGAGTATTGGCTACATACAGTGCAGGAATAGCAGTGAGAGGCATGCAGCTGAATCAAGGTGTAGTATTGGCTACATACAGTACTGGAATAGCAGTGAGAGGCATGTAGCTGAATCAAGGTGTAGTATTGGCTATACACAGTGCAGGAATAGCAGTGAGATGCATGCAGCTGAATCAAGGTGGAGTATTGGCTACATACAGTGCAGGAATAGCAGTGAGAGGCATGCAGCTGAATCAAGGTGGAGTATTGGCTACATACAGTACTGGAATAGCAGTGAGAGGCATGCAGCTGAATCAAGGTGGAGTATTGGCTACATACAGTACTGGAATAGCAGTGAGAGGCATGCAGCTGAATCAAGGTGGAGTATTGGCTATATACAGTACTGGAATAGCAGTGAGATGCATGCAGCTGAATCAAGGTGTAGTATTGGCTACCTACAGTACTGGAATAGCAGTGAGAGGCATGCAGCTGAATCAATGTGTAGTATTGGCTATACACAGTACTGGAACAGCAGTGAGAGGCATGCAGCTGAATCAAGGTGTAGTATTAGCTACATACAGTACTGGAATAGCAGTGAGATGCATGCAGCTGAATCAAGGTGGAGTATTGGCTATATACAGTACTGGAATAGCAGTGAGATGCATGCAGCTGAATCAAGGTGTAGTATTGGCTATATACAGTACTGGAATACCGGTGAGATGCATGCAGCTGAATCAAGGTGTAGTATTGGCTATACACAGTACTGGAATAGCAGTGAGAGGCATGCAGCTGAATCAAGGTGTAGTATTGGCTATACACAGTACTGGAATAGCAGTGAGATGCACGCAGCTGAATCAAGGTGTAGTATTGGCTATATACAGTGCAATAATAGCAGTGAGAGGCATGCAGCTGAATCAAGGTGTAGTATTGGCTACATACAGTACTGGAATAGCAGAGAGAGGCATGCAGCTGAATCAAGGTGTAGTATTGGCTATACACAGTACTGGAATAGCAGTGAGATGCATGCAGCTGAATCAAGGTGTAGTATTGGCTACATACAGTACTGGAATAGCAGTGAGAGGCATGTAGCTGAATCAAGGTGTAGTATTGGCTATACACAGTGCAGGAATAGCAGTGAGATGCATGCAGCTGAATCAAGGTGGAGTATTGGCTACATACAGTGCAGGAATAGCAGTGAGAGGCATGCAGCTGAATCAAGGTGGAGTATTGGCTATATACAGTACTGGAATAGCAGTGAGATGCATGCAGCTGAATCAAGGTGGAGTATTGGCTACATACAGTACTGGAATAGCAGTGAGATGCATGCAGCTGAATCAAGGTGTAGTATTGGCTACATACAGTGCGGGAATAGCAGTGAGATGCATGCAGCTGAATCAAGGTGTAGTATTGGCTACATACAGTACTGGAATAGCAGTGAGATGCACGCAGCTGAATCAAGGTGTAGTATTGGCTACATACAGTGCAGGAATAGTAGTGAGATGCACGCAGCTGAATCAAGGTGTAGTATTGGCTACATACAGTACTGGAATAGCAGTGAGATGCACGCAGCTGAATCAAGGTGTAGTATTGGCTACATACAGTACTGGAATAGCAGTGAGATGCACGCAGCTGAATCAAGGTGTAGTATTGGCTACATACAGTACTGGAATAGCAGTGAGAGGCATGCAGCTGTATCAAGGTGTAGTATTAGCTATATACAGTACGGGAATAGCAGTGAGATGCACGCAGCTGTATCAAGGTGTAGTATTAGCTATATACAGTACGGGAATAGCAGTGAGATGCACGCAGCTGTATCAAGGTGTAGTATTAGCTATTTACAGTACTGGAATAGCAGTGAGATGCATGCAGCTGAATCAAGGTGTAGTATTAGCTATATACAGTACGGGAATAGCAGAGAGGGGCACAATAGAGGTGCAATAATTGTTACTCTATCCTAATTCTCCTTGATCTTTCTGCTGCCTGTGACACTGTTGATCAGCAACAGCTTCTTCTAATTCTCTGTCTACGAGATACTGCTCTCTCCTGGTGCTTCTCCTACCTCTCCCAGCGCTTTTTCAGTGTTTCTTTCTCTGGCTCTGTCTCTTCTCCCCAACCCCTCTCTGTCGGCGTCCCCCAAGGTTCAGTCCTTGATCCCCTACTGTTCACGATCTATGCTGTCTCCCTTGGTAAACTCATCAGCTCCTTTGGCTTCCAGTATTATTTCTATACGGATGACACGCAAATCTACCTGTCCTCCCCTGATCTCTCTACAGTCTCTGACTGCTTATCCGCGATTTCCAACGGGATGGCTGCTCACTTCCTTAAACTCAACCTGTCCAAAACAGAACTTCTGGTCTTTCCTCCCTCAAGCCATCAGCTCTACCTCGCAGGCTCGCTGCCTAGGTGGTATCTTTGACTCCAACCTCTCCTTAACCCTTTCATGTCCAGTCACTTGCCAAATCCTGCCGCTTCCATCTCAAAAATATAGCTCACAATCGCCCCCAATCTAATGCCAGATGAGGCCAATGTGCTGGTGAAAGCCACTGTCATCTCTCGCTTTAACTACTGCAACCTGCTTCTTAGTGGTCTTTTGCATTCCCAGCTGACCTCGTTAGTCAATAATGAATGTGGTGGCAAAGTTCATCTTCCTGTCTGACCATACCTCCCATGCCTCCCCCCTCTGTCAGTCCTTAAACTAGCTTCCCATAAGATTTAGAGCTCAATTTAAAATGAAGGTTCCTGCTTACAAATCTCTCCATAATGCTGCTCCAATCTACCTATCTTTCCTAATACACAAGTATGTCCCGTCCAGGCACCTATACTCTGCAGAAGATCTGCGTCTATCCTGTGTTGATGAAATACATCCTACCCTTACCTGGGCCACTTTACCCCACTCCCTTTAGAATGGAAGTTGGTTGGAGCAGGGCCCTCAGCACCCTCTGGTCCTGTGCTTCCAGCTCGTCTGGTTTCAAATACTTGTCTGTTAGTCCACCCATTGTACAGCACTGCAGAATTTGTTGGCTCCTTATAAATAATAAAAAATATATACATATGGCATGAACAATACAAGAAGAGCAGGGAAGGACATGGGGTGCAGTGTTTGCGATATACTGTACAGAAATAGCAGAGATTGGTGTGGGAGCAAAATAAAGGTGCAGTGTATAGTCTTGGAATAGCAGTGTGAAGTACTAGAGTAAATCTGTGGGTCGGTAATATGGTGGGTGGGTGCTCTATACTCTGTAGAAAGATCTAACTCTGTCTGAGGTTACAGGAATAGCTTTGTCCTCCTGTGGCACAGAGGGTATAGTGTGCTATTATCACAAGTCATGAATCACAAGGCTTATCATTTCATACACTAAAAAGGAGGGAGGCCCGCCCTGCCGTCTGCCCATTATTCTGCTGCCACTTTGAATTACCTTCAGGGCGCCTTTAATATTGATCGGACCCTGGGCAAATGTTTGCCCGGGCCCCCTGATCCCCGCCCTCCTACTCACTAGCATGCTATCATGCTCTCCACCCAAACACAAAAAAGAAGAAAATGCAAAAAAAACACACATAGATCGTAGACTTATATCAGCGCTCCTCAACCTTTTCTCACCCAAGACGCACAAAAACTCTTCTCAGAATTCTGCGGCACACCACAAGCAAAGCAAAGAGTATATAGCCACAGGGTCACCATGCACTAGCACAGTACTTGCCACATTGTTACACTGCCCCCACAGCCTTATGTAGCACTTGGCACTGTAACACTTTAACAACATACAAAACTTGCCTGTTGCCAGTGTCACTTTGCCCCCACAGAACATGCCACAGTCAGTTTACCCATCAAAAATATACCACAGACAGTTTGCCCATTACACATATGTCAAGCCAGATGCCCATTTTAAAAACACCATGGTCAGTGTGCCCATTGATAAATACTAGTCAGTGTGGCCATTGATAAATATCACACTGATGCACAGAGACACACACACATTGACAAATATAGACACACAGTCACAATGTGTATTGGGCTGTGTGTATTTCTGAGTATGTCTGGCATTGTGTACCTGAGTATGTGCCGGAGAATGTGTGTCTGAACAGTGAGTATCCTTGTGTTTGAATGTACGTCTTTGTCTCTGTCACCATGTGTACGTTTGTGTCTAGGGCCATATCTGTGTAAGGGTAACTGCTTGCAGTGTGTTGTGGTTATGGGGGCTGTCTGTGGACTTTGTGTTTATGGCAAAGCTATGTTTCGTGACTGTGTGTTTATGATGACTGTCTTCAGTGGGTGACTGTGACGGGTGGGTAAAAGGGTAACTGTGGCAAGGTGAGTGTGACAGCGTTGGTAATCGGGTAACTATGATTGTAACTGAGCCAGAGGGATGAGTGTGACAGGGATGGAGGCGGTAGTGTGACAGGGTGAGGTTAATATGACAGTGTTGTGTGGCACGATTGGGGTGAATACGGCATGTGATATAGTGAGGAGAGGTGACTGTGACAGGATTAGAGGGGTTAATGTTATAGAGTGGGTGTGGTATGGGTGAGTGTGAAAGGATTGGGGGAATTGATGTGAGTGTGGCAGGGTGAAGGAAGGGGGCAGGGTGTGTGTGAGGGTGCATACAATGACACACATGCAGATACACATACAGATACACAGACACACACACACACTGACATACATGCAGATACACACAACACATACAGATACATACACTGACAGACATGCAGATGCAGATACACACATCGCCACACATGCAGATATACAGAATAACACTCAGAAATAGCAGAGATTTAAACACTGACACATGCATATACACATACAGACAAACCGATAAATCCACAGACTCACAGAAAGCAGGGACATACAAACAGATACCAGCTGCAACTTCCTCCCAGTACTGACATCATCACAGGGTCCCAGCCACGCTTTTAAAGGGCCGCAGCACTGACTGGGGCCCTGCATACACATTGCCATTGGGTGGCCTTAAGTGCATGGGCCACCTGGTGGGTACCAGCAGGGCTTGCCGTGCGACCCCACGCCACTAGTTTAGCAGGGTCCGTCACCACACCACACCACGATTCACAATTTCCTGATTACTCTCTACACACAAACTCACCACCTAATATTCATCTTACACCCACTGGACACCTGGCAGAGGGAGATGGGGGAAATTGCCCCGTGGGCCACTAGCATGGAAGGGCTGGCAAGGGAGTTGTGAGTTGCAGCCTCAAACCATCCTTCTAAAAATGAAAATAGAGGTATGTTGGGATGTCTGTCTGCAAAGTATTGCGGCAGTGAGACAGCAGACAGAGATTGTGCAGGGCCTGTGCTAGTCCAGCACTGCATGTTTAAAGGGTTCCTCAGTGATTTGAAGTGGTTATGGTTATACAAGTATCTATGGGCAGTGTTTCCGCTTGAAATGCTGCACATCCTGAGATATTTTTAATTGTCTGCCATGGGTTAGTGGCATTTTAGGCACCGCCCTTACACCTCTCACAATATTAGCTTGGCCTAAACCCTTATCTTCTAATTTTGCACTTTATTTCATTCTGATCTATCACCATTACCATAGCACCATTTAAATCCAGTAAAGCATGTAAAGTGTATATTACAGGGTATTGGCTAAGACACGGAGCTAAACTGATGGATACAATCTGCTACTTACAGCCCTAATAAATTCATGCTTTAAAAGCAAGCACACGCGCCCACAGTCATGTGTCTCCCTCTTCCTGTCATGTCCTTCTCATTAAGCCAGTGCAGTTAATTTAATTACACAGAGAGGCGAATCATGTGACAACATTTTATTATGTTAATACATTCACTGACTGAGAGAATTATGAGTAAAAATAACGACCCTAAATAGCAGGCGAGTCACCCTTCCGAAGAGACTGGCTCATTGACGGTGGGTACGAGGGAAAACCACGGAGAAACGGCTTGTCAGCGGGAACAGATTCTGGAAACACGAGGAATAAAACTATACAAGTTGGCCGAAGTGGCATGGACATAGGGGAAGGTTTGAATAAGGCCAGCTAAACTCAAACTGGGTGCAAGGGTAAGTATGTCTTGCATATAGGCACACGTAGAAGAAAATGCAAAATAAACTCTCCCATAAACGGAGCTTCCAGTCTACCTTTCCTGCTCATTAAATGCTCGTCTTCAATGTTCTCCACTCCAACAAACTCCCTTTTCTTTATTATTTACCAAACGCCCCTCCACTGTAATTACTGCCCCATCTCCATTTTATCCACCTACTTCTATGTCATTTGTGGCTAATTCTTCTATTTCAGTCCCTTTATTTCCACCCATTTCCTTCTCTATGTTATTTTCTTCCCCCTTTTTTCTCTCTCCCCTTTTCTTTCCCCCTTTCTTTCCACAGCTGCAATTCACCAGCCACATTATCTGTCTCGTGACTCTGCGGTTATTGTGGGGACAATGAAAGACCAGAGAGAGTGTTTCGCTTGCTGAGGGGGCACAAATACGACCATCTGTGCACTGCCCACAGAACCTGGGCTGGACGGAACGCACAGACTGGCATCCTCGGTGGTACAGATGCAGAGGTTCTGACCAACGCACGAGGCGATTACAAACTTTGCTGGATTTCAAGATCTGAAAGAGATGGGAGGGTGGGAAAATCATGGGTAAAACATCCAACCAGTGGTGGGAAAGAAGAGCATACCCTTAGATATACATCCATTACGCTTCCTTATTTTGCTTCCCATCTTCTTATATTAAAGGGGCACTCCACTGCAACTTGTTGAAGTGGTTTCTCTATGAAGAGTATGTTCTCTCTTTTTTATTATACAAAAAAGTACAGCTTTTGATAGAAATTGACACTTTTATAAATTATAGTTGTTACACCCCCTTGGCTGTCAATCAGACAACTGGTCCTGTTACTTCCTGGTTTGTTTAACTCAGCTAAACTCTAGAGACAGCAATTGCCTAGAGCAGGGGTGCCCAAAAGATAGATCCCCCAGATATTTCAGAACTACAACTCCCATGATGCTTTGCGTGCCTTTAGGATGACAAAACATTATGGAAGCTGTAGTTTTAAAACATCTAAGGATTTACTTTTTGGGCACCCACGGCCTAGAGCACCTACCTTCCAAATACTTTTCAGTGAGGTGCATTAGTGACTGGACATTCACGTAAAGTTTGGGCTGGAGAAGAAAGGAAGGGCTTGCAAAGGCTGCAGACAAGAGAACTGCAGCTTTTGCAAGCTCATTCTAGATCCGGGGTCGTCAACCTGGTCCCTACCGCCCACTAGTGGGCGTTTCAGGATTCCAGTTGGGCGGTAGTGGGTTCTATGGCACAAGCAGAATCCTCCCTTCATCCTGAAAGATGAACGCTCTATTCATCTCTCGGGCACTCAGTGGTTTGGAGGAAGTGCGAGCATGCAGATGCCAGCGCACAAACGCGCGCGTGTGTGTCCACTACAAACACGTGCTCGCATGAACGAGTGTAACAAGCGGGTGGAGGGATGGAAGAATAGGAAAAAGAAGGAGCAGAGTACTTGTAGAATAGGAGAAAGAAGAAGCAGAGTATTTGTAGAATAGGAGAAAGAAGGAGCAGAGTACTTGAAGAATAGGAGAAAGAAGGAAAATAAAAATTATAGGAAGGAGAATGAGAGAAACCTAACTCAGCCTTCCTGTTGGGCATTGCTATAAGGAAGGTAAAATAAAAGAATAAATGAAAAGGAGATAAAAAAAGTAAGAAAAAAATAGAAAAAGGAGGGGGGAGCTGATACACAGATGAGAAAGCAGGGACAGGCAGAAGTATAGTGTGTAGAGTGGCTCATGTTTTGGCAAGTTACATTTTGTTTACTTATAAAGGAGGAGAGAATAAAGAGAATTAATTACTAGCTAATTTACTTTATTGCTTTCTCACTAAACTTTTTATAAAGTTAAAAACATTATAAACATGCATAAAGTAGAAATAAAAAGATAAATTGAAGTACTTGTTTTAAAAAAACACCCTTTTTTCTAAAAAAATATTCTGCGCTTGCGCGAGAACTGTCAGGCTGTAAGGAAATTT